AATTTCATGATCAAGTTTTTCAAAATATTATGAAAGAATACTTATTTTAATGGTTATTTTATATAATTATATATTAATTCATTTTTTTTAACCTTCATATGCTTTTTTAAGTTTGATCTGCTGGACATTGATGTTGAAATATTTGCGTTGGGAAATAATTTACATTTACAAAGTGTAGACTTTGTACCCTTAATTTTCTTTATTGGTGTAAAATATATTTCAAAATGGGGCCAGGTAAGGGTTAAATCTGAAGAAGTAAGTACTATGGACATGATATTCTTAAAATAAATTATAAAATAGAATAATAATATTATTATTAACATTTTGAATTTTGATTGAATATTAATTAAAACATTCGACTGAAAATTTAACAACGAGTATTTAAAATAAAAATGAAGGAATGGTGGTTGATATGAATTATGAAACTTGGCTTAAATTATTTATATTAAAAAATAAATAAAAGTAATTTTATAATACAATAAAATATGTTTTTCTTTTTTAATATTTTTTAAGAAAAAATTTGAAGTAACGAGTAACGGTTTGCATTGCAGTTACTCAAAAAAATAGAAACACATTACCTTATACCTATAGAAGAAGATAACGACGTTACTTTTTTGGCGATACTTTACAGCCCTAATTAATTTAAAATATAATAATTGCAATTGTATTATAAAAAATATTTGGCTCAAGAAATTTTGATGTGGAGGAATTGATGAAAGGATAAGACAAAAACTAATTTTACAAAAGTTAGAAAAAAAAATCAAAACTTGCATTTCTAATTTTTAGAATATCAAAAATGAATTTCGTACTGGATGTGAATTTTCTAATTCTATTATTCCCAAAGGAAAAATATGTTTGAAATTATAAAGGGTTTTTGGATGTGAATAATATTTTAAGGGCAATTCAACAGAATAATGCTCATTTGTAGTTGATGATTTGATTAAAATATTGGCAAAATCGAATAAAAAATATGATAGATTCGATGCGCAAAATATTAATATAAACTTTACTCAAAAACGAATCTGCTTATTTATAAATCTAAATTTTTTGTATGGTTTGACTTAGTGTTGTTAATTTGCTTGTTCGTAAAATTTGCGACCCAATTTGGGGCTCAGGCCTGCTCTGAACACGAACCCGGAGCACAGACCGGGGATCAACCCGGGGTTTAGACTCGGGATTCAAGATGAATAATGTTATTACAAATAATTCAAATAAAAATTATTTTCCAGTATAGAAATAACAAAATGCAATGGAATTTTCTGGAGTTAGTTAGTAAAGCCCTGCAAGCAACTCAGCGGGTTAAAAAATATTTTAAACGCTAGGACTTATAGAAACCAAAAAAATAGGATTAAAATGAGTTTTTATGTTTGTTAGCAGAGCGATTACTTCTAGCTATACCATTCTAGTTCAGAATTAGATACAAACTTTATAGCCTGATTTGTTTAATTTCATCGCTATTTTTTAAACACGTAGATTTTTTTTTAATTTTAGAAATGTAAATTAGATGAGTAAATTTGATAACATTAGTTATTAAATTCGGCAAGATTGAGCTTGAATGAGATATTTAGAATGTTTTTTGAATAGTTTTTATTTATGGGGGGGGGGGGGCATAATCAAGTGTCTTTTTGTCCTGCCTATTCTAAAGTCAAAATATATAAAATCTTCAATTCACGCTTTTTATATAGTTTGTATAATTGCCATTATTGGGTAATGGCTAAATACAGGCTAACTCGCCCAATCTTTAGGCGCTTGCCTAAGAAAATCTGTTAACATTAAAGCACTTTAATTTATATTATTTTCTTCCAAATTTGAACTTCATTCTTTTTAAGAATTACCTCGAAAAGCCAGAGTGATAGTTTTCGGCTAAAAAACTTGGTCTAGTCCATTTTTTAGCCGGCTAAAATATATTTGGTTTGAAGAAATTTAAAATTAAAATTATTGTGAAATTAAAAAATAATTATAGGAAGTTTTAATTTAAATTAAATTTTTTTAAAAATTAATGTTTTTCTTATTTTCTTTCAAGTTTTTAAATGTAAATGTATTATTTTCATTATTTTTGTAAACAAAATATTTTTATCTGTATGGTTTTATTTCTAATTTAATCCTCAACATGTTTCATTAATTCATCACAACACTGAAAATAATAATTAATAAACTTAAATTCAAAAATATATAAATAATTAATAATTGACGTAAAAAAATATAATAAACAATTTCAAAAATATAAAAAAAAAACACATGCTGATTGTTGTGGATAATTATGACAAACTTTAAAAAATAATGTGTTCATTCAAGAGATAATTGTCGATAATAACTAAGATATTTTGTAAAGTTGCTTGTAATAGATATCCTTTAATCCCACAAAGTTTTGATGAATGTTATATGCTAATAAAAATTAATAATTGTATATGTGAATTTTAATATTATCTGAAAGAGTAAAAATGGATAGGTGAAATTGACTCCACTCCATTTAAAAGCACCCTAATTATATTTAAATGATTAGAAAATGAGATTAATGTAGTTTAAAATAATAAACAAAGCTTTAATTTATAATTAGAATAGATTTAAGATAAGTAAATGAGATTTACCTTTTCTTAGTTTTATTTATCATGAATCTGATTTCCTGGAATAAACAAAGGGTCTGATCCCCCGGTCTAAACCATAGGTCTGAATCCCGGGTCTGTTCTCGGAATTCGTGCTCAGAGCTAGAGTCTATTTTTAGACCCAAACCACAGGTCTGGGTTTTACACAACCAACCAATTAACAACACTAGTTTGACTAATAAAAATGAATTGCTTCTCAAGTATTAAAGTAGATGCTACCTTACTCAGAAATTGGCAATATTTTTTGCCACTAAACCTAATAAAATTCTGAAACTTAAGATATTCTTAAATAACTCATGTTTGATATCAAATTAGACGGCCGATTCTCTCAGCCCCAACTGTTAATTAGTGTGGTTAAAAAGCCCTCGGGCCAATTTAAAATAAACCGATTAGGATTATAGCCAAAATAACAATGTGTTAGCTTATAGATTTTATAGCTGGCAGAATTGATTAAAATCTATTTGCCAAATCTCGATGTTTATATAACATTATTTTAGCCATAGTCTTATCGGGCCATTATTAAAAATCGACCCAAATAGGGCTTTTTAACAACACTACAGTTAATGTCTATGAACGGAGAGAAAGGATAGGAACATTTTACGCATAAATATTTTAAAGCGGGGAGGTTAATGGTAGGCATCAAAGGAGGGTATGGTAAATTTATTGGGATGTTATCAATTAATTTTTGAAGAAATAAAACCAAATATATTGCTGTTAAAATTGTCTTAATACTTTAATAATAGGCATATTTTAATACACAATATATCACTAAACATCGACCATATAAATGACACATAATCATAGCCATAATTTTTCAAATTAAATTTATCCTCAAATATCATTGTTTTAGCCCAATGATATATAACTATATCATTGTTTTAGCCAAATTTTTAAATGTAATTCAAAAAGGCAAACTATGCCAAACAATATACTATAACAATGCAATCATCGTAAATGAGGTGAAGATTATTATTTTAACTAATTTTCTAAAAAATATCTCATTTACTTTCACAATTTTTTGATATTTTTATAATGGAGTATTGATAATATAAGTTATTATTTTTAAAACAGATGAAGGGATTACCATTACAATTAAAATCTCGTGATTAATAATTTTAGGATATTTGCCGAAGGTGGCTATGTTCTAGGAAAATAGGCATAAGTTTTTGAGGGGGGTTTGCTTCCAGTGTATATTCTCTTATATGCTGCTATGACATATCAAAATTATTTATAGGGAGAAAGATTATAAATGAGGCAGCAAAGAAGCAGAGAAGTCGCAATAAAATTAAATATATTTTTAACAGGATTGATTTTTATCCACCATCAACTTCGTCAGAAATAGTATTTGCAGGGCATTCAAAATTAATTCACCTAAATCTACTTATTATATTACTAGCCCTTAGTAATTTCACACTTAGTATTATATGTAAAGAGACAAATGCTCTACCCCTACTCGCCCGCTTCTGTAGATATGGCGAGAGCTCGTTAATTCCTACCAATTTAAAGCTAGAGATATATTTCTTACATCATCGGAAATAAAAATATGAATATATTGAAAACTAATGTTGTTAAAAAGCCCGATTTGAGTAATTATAAAAACGGCCCAATTAATATTATAACCAAATAACAATATGTAAGCCTAAGTTGGCAGAAATGCTGAATCTCGATGCTTTCATAATATTATTTTTGCTAAAATCTTAGCCAGGCCGTTTTGAAAAATATACTCAAATTGGGATTTTTAACAACACTATTGGGAACCATATTATAGGAGTTCGCGCCAGAAGTTAGTTGTAAGACAAAGAGAAAAGAGAATCGAAAAAGATAAAACTAGTATTGTTAAACGGCTAAGTCGAGTCGACTTAGCCTAAAATCTAGTCAAGTTTTGAGTCGCAAAACTCATTTCAATTTGAGTGGCTCAATGAGCCGCATGAGTCGGCTCGATGAGTCGACTTTAAGTATACAACTTTAATGAGTATAATATATAGAGGGACTCTGAAGCCGACTCATCGAGCCGACTCATGCGGCTCGCCGCTTAATTTGAAATGAGTTTTGCGACTCCAACTTGAGTTCAAAGTCGTAAAAACTCGACTATTTAACAACACTAGCCGACTCTGAAGCCGACTCATCAAGCCGACTCTGAAGCCGACTCATAAATAAGTTTTGCGACTCAGATTTGAGTTCAGAGTCGTAAAAACTCGACTATTTAACAACACTAGATAAAACCATTATGGAAGTAATAATTATTTCTAATATAAAAATTTATCATTTAGATATTTTAAATCTTTATTACATTTTTAAATATGATATTATTATTTACTTATTTCTCATTGATAATTTTATTTCTCCATATGCCAAAATTTAAACACTAGTGGAAGATAAATTGATGAAAATATTTTTTTACCCAATTTTTTGGCGACACGTTTTAAACCAGATTGACCAAAACCATTGATAAAATCTTAAAATATAAAAAATTTTCTGAAATTGTTTAATGTTACTGGAAGTATTTTCTTTATTATTCCTTGTTCCGCAAATAAGTAACTTAAAACCAATGAATATATTATCTAATATGCAAATAAGAATGTGTAGCTGTGGTTTCCATTGATTTTGGTTGTGAATGGGTAAAAATGGGGATAGTAAAAGTAATTATTTAATTTGTAAAAAAAGATAATCAGTTTTTATATAGCCTGGCATGCCAATGGAAGTTATTCTGACACCGTAAATAAAAATTCATTTACAATTTGTAATTATGTATTTTAGAGATACAAGAAGAAAAATTAACAATATAGTTGGAATTAAAAATGAAGAAATTTTAATAGGGGATCCTGCTATAACCTATGTAGAATCTATAAATTTAAATTATGTTTTAATGTATTTTTTTAAAAAATCTGATTAAATTAATTGAAAATAAGAAAAATAATCATATAAATATAAATGCCAAAATATATTAACTAGATACATTTTTATTATAATATTTGCAGTGTCAAAGGCAGCCCAAACATGTTTATTCTTATTTGCTGGAACTCTTAGGCAAAAACATGTATAATTCAGAAGTTGAAGAATATAGACATTATTTTCCTCAATATGAGCTGGGATCAACACGGGATGAAATGGCATTTACATTCATGCTTAAAAAGTGAATATAGATATTTTTGTGGATTAATGTGAGCTCCTTATATGTATAAGTTTTATAAAAAATCAGGACAAACTAAGATTAAAATTTTAGTTTTTTGCATTTAGTTAACACCCTCAAGAAATAAGTTTTATATTTTTTTTTATTAATTTGTGAGTATATTTTATAATGGAGTGCTATATTTTTTAAGAAGTGATTGGAAGCAATGCTGCTTTAAAAGGAGCAAATTATCATTGCTACTTTTTGAAAGCTATTAAAATTAGCTCTTTAAAAATAATCTTTCTTAAAATAGTATTAACTCTTTCAGGTAGAATAGTATGAATGAACTGGAAACCACTTATAAAATATTATATTTAAGCTTAATGCTAAACTCATCATGATTGAAACCCCCCAAATATTAAAATTAAATATATTTTTAATCATTCCAATTTACTATACAGGTTATAATTTTAAACTTCAAACAGAAGTTGATCAAATATTACATTTATTTTTTTTTAATTGACCAATGTTAAAATTTTTAAAAAAATAAGCTTTTATGTTTTCAAAGCAGCAAAATTATTAATTTTGTTGATTAAACATATTTAATAAGATGAATGCAAGATCAATAAAATGTTTCCCTTCTAATCTTATTTAAAAAAATTTATGCCTCCTGATAAAGTGGAAAGGAGGGGGTGGGTATCCTTAGGATACCACTTATTATTTTTTAAAAATAATTTTAAATGTATTTTATTTATACTTGTTGTATTGGGATATTGGTATCTAATAGGATTTCAATTAAATCAATTACTGAGGTAGATTTATAAATTTTAAAAATCCAATTTGACAGGGAAAGTATGCATATATAGGGCACTCCTCTTATGAATTTCAGACAATTTTACCGTGAACCTTTGAACTTGTCATAATTTATATTGATTTTCATATAATTTAATAAATATACTAAATTTTTATGGCGAAAATTTCTAAAATTAATAGGGTAGACTTTACACATGCTCAAATACATTTTTGGTTAAATCAGAATTTTAAAATTTAAAAATCATCCTCGGTAAATGATTTAAAATCAAGAGATTCTGAATCACCATGGATTTCATATCCCAATACGACCTATACAAAAAAAAACTTTAATATTTTTCAGAAAATGTGTTTTTTTGCAGAAATGTATTTATTTTTGTTCATAAATGTTTTAATAATCAATTATTTCTATAAGAAAAGTATCATGGAAATATTAAGTTTAAATTTATTTGTTAGAATTTACATAATGAATAAGAATTTTAAAATAGATATTTTGGCATTTTTATGTTCTAAGAAGAATTAAAAAAAATTTTGGTACTTTAAATCCAGCTTGCAACTTATACTCTCACTTTTATTTTTGGAGAATTACAATGTTTTTGCACAATTTATTTGTAATGTATTGTTTTTGAAGAAATTAAAAATTGAAATATTAAATGTAATTAGGGCCTCATGGCAAAAATATGTTATCAAGTCCAAAATAGATATATCAATCTATAATAGGGATATTATACCGATACCACATATTGGCCGATGATCCGATATCATCTAATTTTGTATTCTGTAAAGATACCAATGGTTTTAATTTTTAATTTACTTTTTATTAGTATAATAACTATAACTTAATACCATAACATATGTCATTTAAATATATTATAATGATCAGTTATTATAGTTTATATCCAATTCAATTGCAATTTTAAAAGTATATAAAATATTTTTATTGATAAATCACTTCTTTATATAATATGTAATAACATTAATCTATTTACATAATAACTAATAAACTAATATACAATGAAATTTGAAATAATTTAAAATTAATATATCGAAGATTTCTCTTTAGAAATACCAAAATTTCCAATTTATCAGAGGTCAGCCTGTGGCAATGGGGACTGTCAAAATCACCCTAAAAACAGACAGAAGATATTATCGCACACTTTTATAAACAGAATGCACAAAAAAAATAACAATATGGCAGAAAGTTTATTAATTAAATATTATTATCAAAAAAATAAACATAAAAATGGATTTTGATTTTATCTATAAAAATAAATGGTTTTTTTAGATATAACTCTTTTTTTAAATTTTATAACATTTTATTTTTGTTAAAAACTCCTTTTTATATCATATCAGATGAAAAGGGTGGGGAAAAATAGTTAAAGGAAACAGCTGAGTAAATGAATGAACGTAAAAAACGAAACCCTTTGTCAAAAAAAGAACACTTTCTTGTTCCAAATTTGTCTAATATAAAAAAACAAACTTTATTCGCCAAAGCCTTCACTTTGAACGCATTCATTTGCAAAACTAATATTAGTTATCTTTGTATCATTATTATTTTTTGCTATATGGTGTATTCATGGTAGAACTGAACCTGAGATCGATTAAAAATATCAAACCTAGCCACGATCGTGATTCTAAAGACCAAACTTCCATTGTTCAGTTAAAACCAGATATGGGGGGGGGCATATATTTACGATGGAGAATTTAGTCATCCAACTGGATAAATATTTATTCTCATAATATTTAAGTTAAATTTTGAAAAAAATCTATCTATAAAAGAATCCTTTATTTAAAAATCTATCCGCTAGGTGTTAAATTATATTTATCATTTTTTTTAAATTAAATTCATTTTGACAGTGAAACATTTTTACCCGAGGAACTGATGGCAATGGTGCTGGCATACTGCAAAGATATCGCTTCGTCTTTTGCTAATAACCACCCTATAGTAGGTTACATTGTAACGGTGCCCCCTTACTTCAACCAAGCCGAAAGGAGGGCTCTGATCAAGGCTGCTCGAATAGCCGATTTAAAGTTGTTCCAGGTCATGAACGATAATACTGCCGGTTAGTTTACTCAACATTATATACGTAATATATAATCTTGTTAATTCAGAAAGAAAAAAAGATTGAGAAAAATTATTATTTTTTGGTTTGACAATAACAAAAAAAAATGCAGCCTTATTTTTTGAATTATTCAAAAAATAGCAGTTTTAGTTTTTCAATCCTAATAAATAGTAATAGTAATACCTTAGGATGAAAAAAAAAACCTCTTTTTAGTGGAAAAACAAATGTTATTTAATTTTTTTATTACTATTGATAATCCTTAAGGTAAATAAAATATAATCTAATAATACATTATAAATTTTTCATTATCATAATCATCTTAAATATATAACTTATCAATATTTTTTTTTGTAATTTCACAATCATTTTTTATAATTTTAAAAAAATAACTTTTTTTATGATAAAAATAATTTTTATAAAATTTAGTCTGAATGTTTTAAACTTTGGTTTAGAATTATGTTTAAGCATGTTTTTTATTTTTAGTAATTAATTACATATAATTTTTTTATCATAGTCATAATTGTAACCATTATTTTTTCCAAATCTATAGTATAATATTCGCAATTTTAAAAAAAAACAAACCTAAAATTTTTTAGTGGCTCTAAATTATGGGTTGTTCAGGCAAAAGCAATTTACTTCCGATCCCCAATACATTTTGTTCTATGATATGGGAGCCTGCGGTACCCACGCTTCCGTAGTTGGTAATTTAAATAAAATAAATATTTAATTATTTTATCACATTAAAAAATTTTTAAATTAATCTTCACCCTCTATTTCTTTTTAAAAAATTTTTTTAATCGATTATTAACTTAACGATATATTTGAATAACTATTATATACCTACATTTGCAATTTATGCCTTATGATTTCATGCCAAAATAATTGAAAGATTGACGCTAATTTTAATACATAAATGAAATATTAATAAATATGTGATTTACAGAGTTGTTAAAGTAGCTCGCTACTTGTAGCGCGCTACTTAGCGCGCTATCTTTTTTGGTAGCTATAGCTAATAGCTGCTACTTTTTTTAAAATTATTTAATTTTTTAGCGCGCTACTTTTTTTAAAAGTAGCTAAGTAGCGCGCTACTTCGCTACTTTTAAAAAATATAATAAATGTAAGTATAAACATGAAAATTTAAATATAATATCATAATTAATTATAATTTTTATAATTTATTATTTAATTTGGAAATTTAAATATATTTTCAATTTTTAATTTATATTTTCAATCTGTGTTAATAATCTAAAATGGCATCGCCCATGGATATCCAAATTCTTGAAAGTGATTCAGACATGGAAGATTCAATGGAAGAAAATGTACTTAATAACTCTAATAACGATTTCCCATTCCCTAGATTTGAAAAAATTTTTTAAATAAATATTAAAACAAAATCTGGATTCAAATTCCTGTGCTTAAAATGTAAAAAAAATATATCATCAAATCAATCGAGTAGCTATAACCTGAAGAAACACCTAAAGGTAAATTGTTATTTTTACATTATAATATTATTTATTTTATTAGACTGTTCAAGCCAATTGCTATAAGGAAATAGAGAAACATATAAAAAATTTTGGTATAGGAGAATCTTCATTCAAAAAGACAAATACTATCCAAACCAAATTAACTGATAAACATGCCAATATTTCACAAAAATAGGCTGATAAAGTAATTGTTGATTTTATAATTGACACAGTTCAGCCATTGTCCTTGGTTGATAATCCATCATTTACTATGATGATTAAAACTTTATCCCCTGGCACAACAGTTTTATGTCGCCAGACACTTGTGGATAAAATAGACGACAACTTCAAAGTGATGAAAGATGCTCTAATAGTAGAGTTATCAGATATATCTTATGTATGTACCACGGCAGATAGTTGGACACATAACAGAAGGTAAAAACTTATTTATATTTATAAATTGATCTGATTAAATATTTTTAGAGCTTCCTTGCCCTCAAGTGCTAGTGTAGAGAGATTATTTAGTAAAGCAAAGCTTATACTTTCTGATCGTCGCTCTAGACTTGGGGATGATAATATTGAAATGATATTATTATTAAAATGCAACAAATTAAAATAAATATTTATTTATATTACTTATTTTTTTATAATCTAAACTAACTATATTTTTATATTTATAAATGTTTATTTTTATATATTATTTATTATACATTTACATTATAAGCAAAAAAAAAATAAAAAAAATTTGTTTCATTTGTTTCTAAAAATTTTTTTATAAAAAGTAGCTTAAAAGTAGCTAAAGCTACTTTTGAAAAAAGGTAGCTAATAGCGCGCTACTTTTTTTGACAAATAGCGAAAGCGGTAGCGCGCTACTTTTTTTGGCAAATAGCTATAGCGGTAGCGCGCTACTTTTAAAAATAGCGTTTAACAACTCTGGTGATTTATTTATTTATAAACGAGATAAGCAATCATTATTTTTGGCAGGTAAGGTAAAATTTTATATTTTTTATTGATTTTGCAAATCACATATAACGGAGCACGTAATCATGTATAATTAAATGAAAAGGGAAGATAACACCATAAGCGGGAGACCTAGTAACTCCAGATGCTCATATTATTTTTTAAGTGAAAAATTAGATATTCATGGATTAATAAAAATTTATTATTTATAGCTGAATAAGGATTTTTATCCCTCAAGAACGACGGAAAATAAACACACGAGTATCTGGGTGAATGAAATATAGACCCCAGACAAAATCTAATTAATTATTATTTGTATTTGTAACAGTTATTAGGTAGACATCAATTTTTGACTTTAATTTTAGGAATTTATTATTATTTTATGCCGGTTTTTGTCAAAAGAATAAAAAAAAATTATTTATACAATTGATAGAAGTTGTTAAATGCTTGATTTAATCTTTAAATATAATTAACAAATACATTAAAAATTTACATTTTCACCTTGCACTTTTTATGGTTAATTAAGACATTTCTTACAATCATTGCACTAAAACTGTGATTTTACATCTCTCTTTCTAGGACATTCAATACATCTTCTTTTTTTTTACTTTTTCATTTGTAATTAGTATATATGACCTCTTTTAGCGCTCTTTTAATATAGTAACACTTTTGTCTCGTCTTTGAATATACAGTTTTCCGAATCAAAGGCTAGGGATGTGTATTTCCTATATTCGGATTGAACCATTCTCTTTCCTCCACTTTTTTTGAAATTTATACAGATATAATTTTTCTTACCTTTGAAATATTTATACTCACCTCTTCTTCGCCCTTATCCTTGCATAAATATATATTAAAACCATAAATATGTAATTTTTCACTTAAAAAGTAATTTTCGTAAATTCATGAAAGTTTTTGGGGGTTACGAGAACTTCTGTTTTAAGTGTAGACTTGCCGATTTTTGGCTCAATCATGCATGATTACGCGCTCCTTTAATTTAGGCTTTCTCATGATTTTTTAAAAATTAAAAAAATTACCCCATTTACAGCTCTTGTATTCATTTCTATGTTTTTTAGCCAAAATTATATAAGGCAAGCCTAGAGATTTCACCAATAGATATCTAAACCTTTCTGCCATCCATGTGAAAAATCTCAATATTTTTTGGCTAGCCTTTAAAAATTGAGTAGTTTAACAACACTACTTGAGATTTTACGAATCGATTGTTCAATTTATTTTAATATACTATTCGTATTTGAATATTAAGTCGTTCATACGAATATTAATATGAACGAATAATATTTAATCAATTTTAGACATTTTTATCCCGTTCATTACCATTATAACAATAAAAATATGCTGCTAAAGTATTTTATTATTCATTCTAAATATAACAAACATAATTTTTTCAGGAAAATAGTGCATGATGATATAGATATCTCACAAATCATGCGACATAATTAAAGTTGATATTATTTATATCCCTCACTAATAGCAACCCGCGACATTAATAATTATAATTTAAATATTTTGTGCTTTGTAAATTATAAGCTAGTTAACCACTTCATAAAAAATATTTTAAAAAACAAAACAAACAAATAATTTAAGCAAGTATATTGAAACCCATATTCGAACCACACTATACTTTTCGTCTATTTTTGAAACTTATTTATGTTTATAACAGTCTATTCATTTGGTCTAGGACGCCCTAGTATGTTTTGTTTAACCCTTTCGCGCCCGGAATATTTCCCATATCAAAAAATACTTGTACTTTGATATAATAAAATAATGATTTTGACATTTTAATATAATAAAATAATGATCTTGACAGGTTAATGATAAAATACGAAATATAAATATTGTTAAATAGCCTTTTTCTTATTCTGTTTAGATAGACGGGCAACGGATGTCTGTATAGAAATAAAACAAGCTAGAGCAGCTATAATGTTTAATTTTATTTTAAAAAACGTTATGATAATATTTGGTTAATTGCCTACTAAATTTACTTATATCATTGACATCTTCAGAATCAGAAGAGGTATATGTAATTTCATTGTGAATAACAATTTGTTAAGGCATGAATTAGATATAATAATAATTTTAAAAAATAAAAAAAACTTAAAATAAAACGTCTAATTGGGAGAAAACTTAATAAATCATTGGGGATCATCATGGATATTTGTCGTGAACCATTTTTATATAATTCTGCTCGATTCGTTTGTCATAATTAATATAAATTTTAAACAATATATATTCGATTAATACCATCTGAACATATCTAGCGAAATACTTTCCCATAAAAATTATGATGATAATGGTTTGCCGAAAAAAAAATTATAAGGTGGAATATTATTTATTTGACACTTTTATAAACAAAACAATAAAAGTGTAGCCTATTCATCATTATTAAAAAAACATTTCAAGCCTATCAAAACGTTCAAACGCGAGAAAACGATTCTGCCAGTATTTTCCCACAACTCACTATTAAAGGATTCGGGTATTGAATTTTCATTTTTACAAAAAGCCTAGCTAGCTCTTAAAAGATATTCTTTATATTTGAATATGAAATTTGACTCTTTTTTTCTTGTGGATTATTTTAATACATTTAAATTTAATCAAGGCTGGCTGATATGCCTCAGAGCTGTTTATTTTTTTAAAGTATATGTTGGGAAGGTCTACCAACTTTGTCCTAAAGTCTTTGGTGTTTGATTTCGATATTTTTCTTATATAAACAATTCTCGTAAAATTCTCAAAGTTTCTGATCACGCGAATTTATATTATAAATATAGTAATATATTTTGGTAAGAACCAATATTCTCTAAAATAAATTATTTTCTGAGGTATCCCATTATTTGAATCGCGGACTTATCTGTAGAATTTTGTTCCCCAAATATTTTATTTCAACCAAAATTATATAGTTGTAAATTCTGATAAAGAACTAACAGCAGAAGCCATTTTGGCTCCCAAATTGTCGTGTAGGTATCGCGACTTTTTTAAAAATCATAAAATCTATCTATAAAATTAATTTTTGACGTTTATCTTGGTGTAAAGGAATGAAGTAAGACCCAACAAAATAGTAAGATTTTGAGTTTGACTTTAATATTCTCTTAGATTGGCCCGATTTTCTGTGAATACAGTATAATTTTTTTAGTCATAACATTTTGTTTTTTAATAGACCAAATTCTTTATTTCGCGTTCAATTTGTGACCGGCCTAACTCAATTTCTATTTAATTTAAGAAAATCTAAATTTTATAATAATAAAAAAATTAATAAAAGATTTGACCGCAAATTAGGTGGCAAGGTATTTCAAATGCGCCTAAGAGACTTCTTAGCTTCCACTTTCAACCAACAAGAGCAAAAAAATGATCCATCGGTAGATGTAACGGCCGACTACAAGGCTATGAATAAGATATTTGTTGAGGCTGGTAGGACTATGAAAGTTCTTAGCGCCAACACTGAGTATTTTGCTGAAGTTAATAGAGATTTTTTTATATTTAAAAAATTTTTTTGAAAATGAATACAATTGCACATATTGGGGCCAGGATTGCTAGATATTTTTCTTTAAAGGTATGAGTTTTTATTCTGTAATAGTTTATCTAAAACTTTGCCTCCCCCACCATGGACTATTTTGAGAGCCTTCGGTTCAATTTAACCTTATCTTCGGGCTACTTAGCCTTACTTTTGGCTGGGCTCATTGACACAGTATATTCCTCTGTGTTATTAATTATTATATTTGATGATTTAAAAAAAAATAGATTTACCATATAGAGATAGATCAAAGATTCTTTTGAGTAATTATCAATGAAGTAAGAGTTAGATTAAATGTGAGAGAAGTATGGGTTAGGATTAATTAAAGGTGTGAGATATGGGTCAAAGTTAAAATATATTAAAAATTGTTTTTAGTATAAGTAATCATTTTTTATTATGGGTCTTCTACTTATAAATGGACGAATAAAAAATTTAAGATATCAGTTGTTGTAATGGTAAATTTTTTGAGTCGGATCTAATTTTTTAAGTGTAGATAGAAACATTATTTTACAAGGGAAATACATCGATTTTTTGTATAATTATTCTTCGTCTAGCAATATCTGTTTATGTTCAGTTTAGGATTTAATTATTTGAATATTGATCAATGTATGTAATATTAACAAATATTACTATTTTTTAAAAACCATTTGAAATTTTATTATAAAAAGAGTTTGTTTTGAGAAAATGTGATTAAAAAAAGTAGGCATGATTGATGAGAATTACTGCCAAATCTTGCTATCTGGGTATTACTATTAAGACTGGGAATGTGAATTTTTTGGTTTTGAATTATTCAAAAATTAAACATTTTTTCCTGATCTTTCCTATTTTTATATCGGCGCTCGATCCAATATATCAAAATAATGAATGAATAATTATTTGAATTATGAAAAAATTTTTAAAAAGTATATCGCATTTATTATTTTTAAATTATAAAATTTTATTTGATATGCATATTTATTTTATTGATATATCTTTCTGTTAACTATTTCCTATATAAGGCAATTTTTTCCATAATTTTATTAAGAATCTGGTGAGTTGATATCGGTGATTGGCACACTTATCAATATATTTTTTCTTCTGATTTTGTACAATATAAATTATCTTGCAGGTTGAAGATTTGATCAATGACATAAACATGAAAATTAAAGTTACTAGAAAAAAATTTGAAGATTTATGCGAAGATCTATTTGAAAGAGTTAAAGATCCATTGTTAGAAGCTCTTAAAACATCTGGAGTTGACCAAGTAAAGCTTTTTATTAATATCATTTAAGATAGAATAATAATTAGTTTATCGTCTAAAAATGGCTTAAAAATAAGTTACACATACCCAATAATAATTAGATATAAAAAATATACATTTAAACATAAAGCGGATAGATACATAGATAAATTAGAAATAAAGTGCCCTAAGGTCGGAATAGAGCTATTATTTACTGAAATAAAGAGATTTTCGGCCAATGTTTTCAATAGTTTTTCTTATTGATGATATAATGTATTTTTTAGAGCGAAGTAGAACAAATCATATTATTTGGAGCTGGTACACGAATTCCAAAAGTTCAAGAAATGTTGAAACCTTACTCTAATAAGTTAGTTAGAATTATTTTGTTACAATCAAATCTGTATTTGTCTAGATGAAAAAAAATTTAATTTTAGTATTTTTTTTTAAAAAAAAATTATGAAAATATACTTGGAAAATGTAATTATCATTTTGAAAGAATATTTGTAAAGTTAGTTATAGATTAAATTTTATAATATTATTTTAAAAAGACAAAATAGTGCTGCTGCCTAAAGTATTCTCTATTTATAATTTCTTTAAAAATATATATAAATCTTAAAAGCGAGTTGGGGAAATCTATAAACACTGACGAAGCTGCAGCTTTAGGTAAAAAATGAACTATTGTAAAAAAATATATATTATGTTTTAATTAAATATAATTTATTATACTATTCGTTACTGTAACAAATTGGTATTTAATATTTTAGAATATGATATTTTAAAATATACAATATAAGTAATTTAAAACATATTATAATTTATTAATAATTTTTATAAAAAGGAGATTTAAAATTAATAAATAATATAATATCTTACCTTTACAGAGGTCGATGAAAAAAAATAATAATGATTTATAATAATTCATTGGAAGAAAATTCATCAATTAAAATGGATATCATGTTAAATATCCATTCGATGACATCAATATGATGTTGATTATTTGGAAAAATTAGAATTTGTTTTGAAAATATAAAAAAATACCTTTTAAACTAGAGATTCAAAAAAAAATGATATTGGCATTAAAGAATGTAAGATATTATATTATTTATTGATCATATTCTTCTTTTTATAAAAATTTGGTAAATTATAATATGCGTTCTAAATTATTTATAATATTAATTTGTTAAAGTTCATTACTTCAAGATATAATCTTCTTCCTTGTTTCTAAAAAAATATAGGTATTTAATTATAGTGTTAAGCTATCACAATTGACGTGATTTAATCCTTTTCACTGGATTAAAAATGGTATAAAAGGAGCTTTTAATTAAATATAATTATTTGTATATGGGAATGTTAAGTAAATTTAATTTTGGGACTATGCTTTCGCTACTCCATCTATTTTATCATTTAAATGGTTGTAATTTATAGTCCTCGAATCGTATATTATCCTTTTTTTAATATAGAATAAAAGCCAAAAATGGGTAAATCCTGTTTTCAAATATAAATAAGAATGCTGTGTGCGTTTATGTTTCTTACCCCCCCCCCCCCTCCCCATTCACGGTTAGCACGAATTCGCGGTGAAGTGTATTCAAAATTAATGTAAAATTAATATATTTATATCATATTTTTTATACTGCACCATGAATTCGCACTAACTGTGAATGCAGGGTTATACAGTTATAATTCAAAGCTTAACAGATAATCGAGTTTGAATCTGTTTAATTATCGTGTATAAACATAATTCGTCATTTGTTTAGAAGTTTTATAATATAAAAAAAATTTGTTTAAAATGGGGGAGGGGGTGAATTTTCATATAATGAATGAGTGGGCTTATTACCTTACAATTTGTGACTTTAGTGTATAAAATACCGTAATTCTTTGACAATTTTGATATTAATATTAATAAATGTTATTTTAATTTAAATATTATGCTAGGTGCTGTATATCAAGCTGCCTATCTAAGTCAAGGCTTTAAAGCTAAGAGATTTATCATCAAAGATGTAACTCTTTACCCAATAAAAGTTTATAAATAAATTTCATTTGAACTATGTTTATTAATATGTCAATAATTTTTCCCTAAACATAAATTTATTGACCCCTTTATGTTCACATAGATTGAATTCGACAAAGAAACAGCTCAAGAAATCACCGATAACACCGTCGATGATCGTATTCTTGAATCCCCCCAACCTCCCCTTAAAATGATGACAACCAAACATGTATCTAAAACTTTGATGAATAGATTTAATCCGTGTCCTCAGAAAAAGGTTATAACCTTCAACCGAAACACGAGAGACTTTACTTTTAACGTTAGTTATGGTGATCTAGGCTTTATGGATATGGAACAGATAAAGTTTAATAACATAACTACTTAGTATACACGACACAATATTAGAGAGGTTTAATTATTTCGCACAATTGATTTATATCTAAGAAATTTTGATTCAAGTGCAAAAAGAAATATAATTAAATCTCTAAATTATTTTTTTTTGTTTAATTATGGCTAAACTGAGAAAAATTTTACCATTCATCTCATAAATTTGATTTGCTTAGAGAATCAATTCAATATTTTATATTTTCTCTTATATGACAGTTTATCATATACTATATTACTAACAATCAATTTTGTTGGGAAAATGATAAAATTCTATATAGAAGGGCTTGGGCATTGTTCATAGTAATCGCGATGGTAATTGCATAATTATTGACTAGACAATAACTGATAATTTAACATTATGTATTTTTTTAAGCGACGCAATTTCGATTTTCGCGATTACTATAAATGAGGCCTAAGGCTGAATTCATAGTGGACGTGATGCAACACCTCTGCTCGAGTTTGTAAGATCTTTTTAATCAGATCAATATTTCTTTATTATTAATAATAATTATTTGCAAATAAATTAAAATGGATCTCATTAAAAGATTTTACAAATTCGCTTAGCTGTTAAATCTTATTCACTATGAGCTCAACTTAAAGCAGATATGTGAAATTATTATGAAAATGAAAGCAAACTTATACTATCTTTCTTTCTCTTTTCACTGTTGTCGCTACTCTTTTTCTTATATCCAAATTTCCTCTTAGAATATATGTAATAAAAGTGTTTTTTCTTATTTACCCCTCATATCTATTAAGCAATTTTGCCTCCTTCAATCTTTCCCAAATATCCGTCAAAGGTGTCGAATCCATAATGGAAAAATACGCATTAGACCCCGACATCCAGTACAAAGGTGTCAAAGCTCATTTTGTGCTCGATGATAGTTGTTTAGTGACTTTGGAGAAAGTATTGATATGCTTAAATTGGATCGCTTTTAAGGATCTATATTTATATGGAATATATATAGATATAAAACAAATGAATAGTTAAATTTAAAAAAAAAAAATAATATAAGTATTTTACTTATAAAATATTACTCAGGCTAATTATTGTGAATAATTTAGTTTTTATTATTTTTTTTAAATTATAACTAGTACGCTTTACCTTCATAGTTTTTCATCTTTTCGAAAAAAATGCCAAACATTTATCGAACAATTACAAGTGGTAAAAAACCCCTCATTTAATTTAGATGGTTATATAATGTATTTTATATAATCTCTTCTTGGCTTGATTTATTTGATTCAAGATATTAGATGAAAGTTATATAGAGTATTATTATTTTAAAATAGTTAAATAAAGTGATTAATATAATATTTATTGTTATATATCAATAACCAGCTGATTAACTGCTATGATATCACCCATATGAGTTCAGATTCCATGGACATTATTTTAATATATTTTATATATTAATTTTATTATAAATAGGTGGATATCCATTTTGAAAGAACTGGTGTTAAGCCGGAGGAATCTACTTTATCAAGTTTAATATCGCTGAGACTAATTTACATATAATTTTTTTCCTCAAAATTAATATTATTTTTAAAGATAAATCTTATTTTCATCATTTTTTTAAAAAAATTAGCAATCTTACAAGGTAAACTAAAATTTATACAATTTTTCTAGATTGTTTTGATCAGAGTTTGAAAAATTTTTTAAAAAATTACTTAAAAATTCCAGAATCAAAAAAATATTATAAAGTAATTTTTTAATAATTAAATCAGGGATGTGAACCCTTCGACAAAGAAAAGGGTCCGGGTCTGGGTTCGGGTCCGGTAATAAATTTAAAAAGGACCCGGGTTCGGGTCCGGGTTCAGAGGAAACATAAAAATAATGACTCAAAATAAGACTTTTTTTCATTCATTTTTTATTATACTTCAATATATACACATTTATAATTCGAAATGAGATAATTTATATTTTAAATATTTTATTCAATCGCACAATCATGATATCTTCTAAAATATCATCCTTCAGATTTCCACGTAAATTAGTCAACGATGAAAATCCACGTTCTACGCTTACCTAAAATAGATAGTCATTTTTATAATACATAAATTATTGTAATTGTGTTCCCGGTATAGCCATCATGATTCTAGAAAAGGTATATAATTCTGGATATATTGAAGAATTTTCCTCCCAGAATTTTAAAATGTTTGCATCTCTATTTATTCTCATAACTTCCGAGAACTTTTCTATTAAAGATACAATAGATATTTTTTACTCCTTTCTATCTGATAATTTAATTTTTTTTCTCTATCTAATAGTAAAATTTCCAGATCATCAATATCATTATCATTGTTATCGCTACAACCAGTAGATATTGTTGTAACCACCAATGTGTTGTAAATAATAGAGTTTTGGGTATGCCATAAATCTTCAAGATGGCCTATAGCCATTTGTTTTTGCTCACTACTTAATAAAATCTGATATTGTGGGTCTAAATATATAGAAGCATATACAACACTATTTTGTAAATATTGTTGCTCTCTTATTTTCGTATTTTCTAATACTTCATTTGAAAAAGAACTTGTTAATTTCCCTAACTCTAATCGACATCTTAACCATATGCCATAAAAATCCGATAAACATAATTGTTCTGCTTGCACTCTTAATGTTGTTATTTTTAAAGGAACCAGCACACTAGTAAGCTCTTTTACTTGATTCCAATCATCTTCTGACAAAATGATTTCACATGCTCCTATGATAAAATCATTACAGAAATCTTTCAAACTTAATAATCGCTCTAGCATCATACATATAGAGGACCAACGTGTTGTGCAATCTAAAATTGCCATTTACCTTTTCATGGATTTTAATATTCTAACAAATGTGGGAGTTCTTAAATATTTTACAACATCTCTTGCTTTATCAATTATAGTTTTAAAGTGACTATTTTTTAGGGAGATTCCACGAAAAAAATTATTAAAATTTTATATTATTTTTTTAAAAATTAAATTATAAAAATTTTATATTATTTTTTAAAAATTATATTATTACGTTAATTTTAAAAAAAAATTTTAAGTAAAAATTTTTAGCACCCTGAACCCTTGGACCCTCCACTTTTTAAAAGGGTCCGGGTTCAGCCAAAATACGAGGGTCCAGGAGGGTTCAGGGTCCGGGTTCTCATCCCTGATTTTAATGCATAAAAAATCTTTCAAGATAAAATTATTTTTTGAAGATTTTTTTCAAACTGATTTGATATATAAAAATATTTTACATTTACAATCATCATTAATTCAAATTATTGTCTTTACCCCGTTCCCTTGGAAAAACTCTAAAATTTATTACTAGATATTTATGTAGCTTAAACAGCCATTTTTGAGATTGTCAGGGCTTGTTAAGATTTTTTATGAAAGTTTTCTGGCCTAGTCTACTGTAAAAAAAAATATCGGTCCAGCTTTATGATAGGAAAAATTAACATTTTTTAGACTAATCTTGCGGCCCAACAACAGGTTTTAGCTCACACCCAAGCTAGGCGAAAAACCATAGGAGGAGAGCTTTTTAAATTTTTTTAAAAATATTAGCGCTTGCTAATAGTTTGCGAAATTTTTCATTATCATAATTATTTTCTAATTGAGTTTGTTAAAAAAAATGACAGTTTTATTTTATCTATAGAAATTAATTTTATATACTATTTATAATTTTCAAAATTTTGTTAAAATTATTTTAAAGCCAATTTTTTCTGTTTTTCCCCTTTTTTTTATATTTGAAGAAAACCCTGTATGTCAATGGCTAAATAACAAAACATCATAATTTAATGGTTCAAATTCAATTTTAAATGATTATATAAATCTTGGGGGGGGATTATGGCGATTTTTTTTCAATATTTAAAAAATCAGTCTAATATGAGTTCGAGAAAAGGGATTTCGAGCTGTGGCAATAGCTTGTTTCACCAGGGTTCAAACCCATGTTTTAGATTTGTCTAGATTACGACTTAATGGTTTATATAATGATAATTTTTTGACCTAGTGACCATGTAACACTCGCCTCTAAATTGCTTTTCCACAATATAATATACTGCAAGCGTAGCACACTTTGCCGTCTCCCTCTTGACCTCACTATTTTTCTGTTACGCTTAATATTTCAACTAAAATTATAAATTTCAATAGTACGCTCATTCTTTGCACATATAAAAATATGAAATCTAGGAATTGGTAGTAAAATCAAAAATTTCTTCACTGGGGCCAAGGGAGATGATGTTATAGAAGAAATTTTAAAGCCAGAAGAAGTGAATCACGAAAATGACAATTCAGCACCTGATAATGGTAACATAAAAGGGGATGATCTAGATGTAATGGATTTATTTATTTTTATACAATTTAGGCTGCCCAAGATCATTTTTAAAAAAATCGAATTTTAACCACCAAATTTTAATAAAATCGTATGTTATTTTTGAAATTTATAAAAAAAATTCTAGAATTATGTTTTGGACAAGTTTTGATTTTTACATTTAAAATTATTTACTTATTTCCATTAAAGTTTCTAGTGTGTGAATTTAATTTTTTTGTTGTTTTGAACAGGGCATTTAACAAAAATATTATTTTCCCATTCTGGCTATATTGGATTGGATATTTCATATACCTGGGACTTATCTTGATTTTTTTTAAAAAGTACCCAGGCCGGCCATATATTTTAAAACCAAATATTTTAAATCGCCATTTATAAGAATTAAAAATAAATATAATATTTTTTAAAAAAATCCGGGCCGGGCCTGAAAATTATTTTTTGAAACAATCTATACCTGGCCGTGCAAATGATACCTCTACGGTTTTATAACTCTGGAGCTTTGTCGCCCAGGGCTTAAAAAATTGGGCTATGAACATATTATCGGCAGCTGTATAAAAAATATATCTAATAAACAATGTGGGTATTCAAATATAAATAAAAATTGTTTATTTATAAATAAAGGAAATGTTAGGATTATGTTAAGGGATCAGGTCCGAATTTTTTCTTTCCGAAAATTTAGAAAAAAGGATAATCTTTCTTTAATTTTAAAGATGGCGGCAAAGTTTTTAAAAATTCACTTTAGTTATTTATTGTCTCGTAAAATATCACTTTTTTTAAATCGATAAAATATTGGAATTAGAATTTTAATTATCTTATTAGGCTTCTTCACTATGGTACTAAACAAATATAATATTCAATTTCACAGATCATTATTATACCTTATAATGTCCCATTTTGTATATTTTTTAAAATGATTATTATAAGAATGACGTTAAAAAATCCAAGACCTCAAAAACCACACAAGATGAAAATAGCTCAGATAAGAATGAGACCGTGACTCCCGAAAATAACTCGTCTCTCCATAATCAAACTCCCGAATTCGAAGTGAATTCTACTGAAATCCCCAAAAATCAAACTTATCATTTAACGGAAATATTGGAATACGATTTTGTGGATTTAGATTTTCCTCAAATGAGTGAGCTAGAAGCCAACGCAAGTCAATTAAGGTTAAATATAATATTGAATCCTGATACCAACATTATTTTTCTGGCATCTATTCCCTTTGTCTTCTGGCATATTTTCCTTTTAAGTTTTATCTTTTAGGAAGTAAGATTACGTCTTAAGTAACAATTAAATATTTTAAGTTTAACTCATCTAAAACTAAGGGTATGCAAAAGATACCTCTATCCTCTATAAATAAATTTATTTATATATCAGTTTATTTATTAGTAAATAGTCAGGGCAAAGGAAAATTACTACTAAATTTCTCTTATGTTGAGTTTTGTTTCCAAGGATCTTCGTTCCATGTTGAAATAATAAATTTCCAATTACTTTGATGCCAAACTTCGAACAAAATTTTGAGATTTCATTGCCAAATTTAAATCAATACTTTAAGATTTTAGCATTACAGTTAGCTATTTTGTGTATTAGAAAGTTTAAAGATGAAGGCGATTAATGTGAAGAAATGGTTACTACGGTAATTTCGTCAATGTTTTTAAAATTGTTATTAAATATTTATTGTATTATATTTAAAGATTTTTTTAACGCCTTTATTTAAATTTTTAAAGATTGAACATTTACAAAAAGAAAGAAGCGGACAGGAAAGATCTAGACGAGCTTAGAAACTCGCTTGAGTCATTCCTTTTTAATACGAAAGACAAAATCGGGAATGATGAGATTTTCAAAAATTTTACTACAGCTGTCGAACGCGAAAGTATTTTGGAAAAGTTGGCAGGTGTTGATAGTTGGTATGAAGAGAATGGCTATAGCGCCAATAGAAAGGTTTTTTTTGAAATGTTTTATAGGATATTATAATTTGTGACTAGTATATTGTTTATTATGAGAAAACGTTGAGATAATGATTATCGAATAAGGCCTATATCCTCGAACCTATTTGAGTAGCTTTACAAAGTTTAAAAATTAAATTTAAATCATCATATCTATAAAATATAGTCATTAGTCGAGTTTTTCATTCTAAAAGTATATAGATTCTTTTCTAATCAAATAACTCGAGGCTAAGCACCCTATAAGAATATCGAATTTTGAATATTCTACTTGCTAATTTATACGAAATGATTTATTTTCATTTTTTTTTCATTCAAATTTCATCCAGACTCTTAAATCTAAACTAACTGAACTCAAAAAATTGTTAAAACCTGCTAGCGATAGAATAGAGGAATACGAAAAAATTTTTAAAGCCTTAGACCATATGTATAGGGCTTTCAACGATTCGCAAACCTTCCTGGATGTCACGAAAAATTTAAGCTTTCCTACTAATATACCTATTTTTACGGACGTCGAAATTTCCAAACTTGAAAATTTGATATATAGCACTATGGTAAATTATTATTTTAAACATTTTATTTTACAAACTTTGGAGGAGAAAGGGTAGCATTGTAAATTATAAGATTCTTGGGACCCCATACTAAAACGCGAAAAGCGGTGAAACGGAAGCTTATACTTTAGCGTAATTTTTATTTATGGAATGCAGTGTCCACATGAACGGAAACGGGAATGGTCCCATGGAGGTAGAAGTAAAAAATATTAAGGGGAGGAAGTAGAACCCCGTTTTAATTGCTAAATTGGGGAATATTTCTTATGCCAGAAAATCTTTATAGAGTATTGATAATAATTTATTTAATTGATAGATACTCCAAGAAAGTTAATACTTAAATTTCAATTGTTTATGCGGGGAGATATTCCTCAATCCAAATCTAATCCCTTTCTCTCTTTTATATCGGAATATAACGCTGTTTGTTACCTATTTAATCCGTTATTAAACATTTCTGATAATACACCATATAACCAATTCCTTATAAATGTTTGATTTGCTCTATATTTTTTTTACCAGTTTCACAAATAAATGTATTAATTAATTTTATAGAGATATCAAGATAATATAGTTTTTAAATATTTTAATCATACAAAAAATATTACATATGTAAATCAAATTAACTTAAATTGCACTTCCCCTGAAACTTTTTTTTTCGTTCAGAAATTTTATTTTACACACAGACAAAATATAATTCTCATGATTGATGCGAAAGTTTTATAAAACATTCTACAAAAAACAATATTTATTGAGGTTATGAACTCCTCAAATTCATAACTTATTATTATGAAGATACTAGGTTTCCTGTTGCAACACGATAAGGTAATATTTAAATTTATACAAAAAAAATATATTTAGTGGGCATTTTTTTATACTATTTTAATGGAATCTGTGAATATCAGAAAATTTTGCCATTAACTTTTGAGCCATTTATAATTTATATAAAAAAATCTATGGAAAAACTAATATAAATTATATTAAATTTAAATATTCATGACAAAAATTTACAATAATAACGGAGTAGGTTTTCTATACATTCTGGAATACATATCCAGCGTATTCATATTTTTAAAATTAAAAAAAAACGCCATCAAAAAATGTTATCAATTGGGACACATTGACGCAACATGTTATGTATAACATTACTTATACCCAAAAAGTTTTTTTATAAAAAAATTTTAAGAACATTAATAATAATTCTATAATAAAAGGAATGAATTTTTATAGAAGAAAAATTAATATTGATTTTTAAAATTAATTAAACAAGATCTTTTATCCCACTTAGACGTGAGACAAAACTACTTATTTTAATGATCCAATTTTTTGTTCCACTTTTAATAAATAATTTGAAATTATTCTATCTAAATTATAAACTCCACGCATATTTTCACCATATTTTAAGAATCATTATGGACGATATATAATATTTTTTCTCTTTTGACCATCATCGACAGGAATCAATCCGTTCAAATCTATATATATTAGAGGCTATCTTATCTATTAGATATGGGTTTTCATATTTTATTTTAAACTAATCTTTTGTTTAAGCTTAAATACATAAAAATTAATAATTATTATTTTACCTCCCTCTTTTGTTTAGGTATAAATTCATGAAAATTAAAATTTTGTGTTTTATTTTAATCGTGAGTTTTTCAATGCTTTTGGATTTCTTCGTAAAATATTAATTAATCATAAATTAGATAGGTCCCTGAGATCGTCTTAAATCCAGGGGTATAATTAGAGTTTCGAGAAGTATAGGGGGGCTGGTTTTATCTCCAATTATATAAGATAAAACTAAAACTCCTTTCAAAAACATTTTTTTTACACTTTGCCAATTTTAATTTATAATTGCACTTTTTATTTTCCCTATAAAGAGGACTAAATTTTATGCTTACGATTATCTTATATTTTTATTTTGTATTTTTTTATATTTATAAATAATTAATAAAAGTTTTATAAAATGTTTATTTGATTTTAGTATTAAATAATTGCGTTTTGAACTGATAAATTTTTTTAAGTTATTTTACGTTAATAGAGTCTATAAATTGAGTTAGTCAAGACACTCACTAGAACACAAGAGTTGGATGATCCCCATACCGTACAATGACCCTCAGCAACTGTATCTCTATCTGAAGTCCCGCAATTTTATCAAACCACTTAGTGATGCAGATGTCACCGTCTAACACATCCATCGAACTGCGTCCATGCTTACGCAGATATAGATCAGTTGAGAATACTACTTTCTTAGGAAATCGATTAACTTTTACAGGGTCAGTTACTGAAAAGCTCTGTTTTTAAGTCGCTCTACTAATTGTAAACTACTAAAATATTTAACGAATATGGATATAATGTGAAAGCGTTCTCACATCCATTTTATCAGGAGTTGGATAGAATAGATTCAGTAGAACTTTCCTTTCCTTCATATATAATAAAATCAAAAGTTAACAAAGACTTTTAACCGTGTTGATGTTGGTTTATTTTTTACATATTGTCGCATTGAAACACGTCCAGAAAATCCAATCATTTGTTTATTCAATGGATGGCCTGATATTTTCTAAGCATCCAATTTGGATTAGATATAAAATTTTCCAAAATTTATTATTCATTTTTTTCAATTATTATTTCATCTTCTTTAAATGATAATAAATTTCGCAGATTAAAAAAAGCGATCTCTAGTCATTGTTCTTGTTGTCATGTATGTGTACGGGTGCGATTAAACAAGAGTGACAATTCATATAAGGATATGTCAAATCTAGAAATAAAATATAATAAATCAATGTAATATGTCTCCAAACACTTCGTTAAAGGAAAATATCGGATTCTGAATTTGTTGTTGAAAATTCACTTATTTCCCAATATTAAAATCTATAACATAAAAACCCGAGGTATCATATTGGATACTTTAATTAAAATTGATAAAGGTTTGGAGACGCCTGCAGTTAATTTATATATATAAGGTTGATTGTTTATATTTTATATCTAAATTCATGGATAATGTCAGAGGGCCATAATGTTAAAGTATATTCCAACGTACAAAAATATCTTTGGGAACTAATATATCAAACTGTAATGCATATAACTAATATTCAAGGGCATTCTTCTGGATTTTATGATATATGATGAAGAGTTCAACTGAATATGTTTTATACCCAGCTTCTGGTAAAATCGATATTGGAGGTAGATTAGCTTTAAGATTTATGCTTTCACTTAACACTTTTGTATTTTTCGATAGGTATTTCAATCGTTAACAATTAATAGGATGCTTAAGAAAGGTCAGGAACTGGCCGTTAAGAGTAAATATCTTACTGAAGTAGCATTCTCAAATCAATTAATGTAGTGTCAGACGATGACTGCATCACCAAATGGTTTGATAATAGGCCAGTGTATACAAGACCTCTAATATTTATCAATCAGAATAATTGATTTTGTTTGCGATGGTCAAAAGTTATTTTATGACCATCGTCCATATTGAATCTTTTTATATAATAAAAATATGGGCGGAGTCGATAATTTAGAAGGGTAATTTCAAATTATTCAATTAAAGTTAGAACAAAAACATGGACCATTAAAATTTTAAATCACTTCATTAAATTTTTGGCAGCTGCAGTATGTCTAGAGCATAAAAAAACAGAACCGAGACAGGCCATCTTAAAAAGGATATCATGGATTCAGTTCAAAATTTAATTGGCGGAATATTTAATTTATTGGATGAATTTTTAAGTTCAGTGTGATGGCAAGAATAAACGTAAAAGGAGAGCTGTGGTTGCAATACCTAACTTGCCTTCTTGGAAAGAAAAGATTCTTCATTTAATCGAAATTGTTTGTTTTATTTTCATAATTAAAAAAATTGTATTATAATTTTATCAATTTTTTTTGAAAAATAATGTGTCTCAGGTCTGAGTTGGATAATTATATCTTATCACATGAAACAACAAAATAAATACTTATTTTTATGTTATAATAATTGTAATTAGTGAACATATAAAATATTTTTTTTATCAAATTAAGAATGCAGCAGGGTGTCGAACCTATAATTATATCGGTTCAGTTTCATTCCGGTTCTTTTTCGTACGCTTTAGTTTTAAACCAGTTATTGAAAAATTTATATCGATTCGTTCCGGTTTTTTAAGTTTTGAATTATAAGATAAATACTTAAGAAACATTAATATTAGTATTTAAAAATAAAAAAAAACTTAAACAAAAAATGAAATATAAGAAATAACGAATTTAAGTAACATAACTACATATATGCCAATAATTTAAAATAAATATACATAATTTTAAAAATCTTTATGTACCTGTTCAAAATATTTATAACGATTTGGTTCTTTCCCTCATATTTACCTATAACAGTTTACTTTGGTTTCATGTGGTTCTGGAATCTAGTTATTTAATAATTAAATTTGGTTATGAAATAATCTTTTTTTAAACTTAGGAATGGTTCAACGATACCATCGCTCAGATAAATAAATTGGAGCTCTACAAGGACCCGAGCATAAAAAGTGAAGAAATCGAAGATAGAACTAGGGAATTAGAAAGAGAAGTAAATTACCTTAGAAAAAAGGGGAGAGCTGAAGCCCTAAATCAAGCCAAAAAATTTAGCGAAGATTTAAATCTAAAAGATGGCATACTTAAGCAACAAAAAAAAGAAGGTAAACCTCATTATATTCTTATTTTTAATAAAATTTATAAGGTTTTATTAATTAAAATACTTTTTTTAACAAATATAAAATTTATTGAGCAAAAAAAATAAGAAAAATGTTAATGTTATAAAGAAAATATTTTGCCTTTGCAGCAATATTTCTTTACTAAAGGCATATCAATTAGTGATCTCCATCGGGCCTAATTTTTTAAACCCAGCCCCCCAAAATTTTTTATAAAAGAGTTTTGCCGGCCCGAATATATTTATAATTTCTAAAATTAATCAAAATAAAAGACATGTTATATGGCATCTAGTTTCTATAAATAAAATCAAATATTTTTATTTAACATAAAAAATTCAATATAAAATTGATATATTATAAAAAATTTCCAAGGTCCGACCCCACACGATCCAGCCCGAATTTTTAAAAAAAATATTGGGATCTCTAATATCAATTCTCTCCTTGGGGCACCCCCCTCCCCCATTATATTTCATATAAAAGGGGGCCCTCTGTATGCCTGGATTCTATTATCATACATGTATATACATTTTCCTGTGTATAAAAAAATATTAATAGGTGATGGTGGTGACACTAAACAATCAAACGGAGAGCCAGGTAGCCAAGGTATATTTTTTTTAATCAATCATTCTATTTTTCTGTTACTATAAAATCTCTCTTATTTTAACATTTAACACCTTCCTGAAAATATAGATAAATCAGATGGTGCCGAAATTAACAACAAAAAAAAGGGTGCCAAACAATCGTCAACCAAAAAAAGCAAAACTAAAAAAAAAGAAAAACCTGGGAAAAAGTTTAAACTAGAACCGTCTCTTGAACCAGAAGAAGAGGATCTCACGTTTAAAGATGACATAAGTTGATTGATAAATATACACTACATACTTTAATTTTTGTTTAGCTGAATATATTTATATCAACGAATTAATTCCCAATTATAGGGTTGACTAAAATTATGACTTAAGATTTTGAGGATATCATTCTGGATGTAGCCTTAACAGCGCCAACAAAGACCTGGCGATGTTTTGGCTATACCCAGAGATGACACAGAAGTGAAAAGAGAATTAGCGAAAGCGATTCGTGGCTATTCTCAAATTGAATACAATAAGATGTAAAGATAATCAATTACAAATTATTTTATATTTATACCATTTAAAGAACATAAAGACATACATGTTTCCGATGAACTATAACTACGACATATACATTCCAAACTTAAAGAATTGTGTCAAATATTTACCTTTTAAAAAAAATAAAAACGCACTCAAATAATGATTGTCTTGTTATAAAACAGCAAACTACCTTCTTGTCAAAAAAAATATAGATAATTATTAATTAATATATGAAACCTACTGGTGTATTTTTTTATAATTTATTACAATATACTCACTTAAAATATGATTGCTATGAAAATGTAATGATTGTATCATATGTTTTTGCTCCACATAATTTTTTATTTAGGATATGTATAATTTAGCGAAATGTGATCAATAAATAAATAAAATATACACGCTCTTTTATATGTAATATAAAAATGAATGTATGTTATATAAAATAAATATATTTATGCGGTAATAAAGGTTGTGAAAAAAATAGAACGGACATTTTTTTTATATTTTCGTTTGAAGTGTAAATGTGTTTTTGTATTTATAATTCTGCCAAACATCGCGGATTAATCTCTCGATTATCGTCGATACCTATATCTTTTAAAATGAAACCATAACTGAAAGATGTTGTTATAAAATTGACACCTAAAACCTCTTTTATAAGAACACTCCCATTCTCTGTTAACAATTTTGAAGGCTATATCTTCGTATGGCGGACCGGCAGAAAAACGTAGTACAGCGAAATCGGGTGTAGGAGCTTGTTTAAAAAATATTAAAATAATACATTACATTAATATGACATTTGAAATGGGCATAATTTTTAGTTATTCGAGGGATTTCTAGCATGATTGTAAATTGAAGCTCTGCAAAGGGTGGGCGAAAAAATTTAAAACCAATGGGCAGGTTGGCTTTTGGATTAAAACACGCCAATTGCAGTCCTAAGCCTTTTTGCTTTCAATTTTATTTTAGCAATAAATGCAGAGTTAATTTAATCAGTTATAAAAAAAACATGAATAAACTCGTATATATATTTATAAAAGGTGTCTAAATAAAAAGCAAAAAAAAAATTTCGAAAACAAACTCCCTTTTTTGCTTAAAAATACAGGTGAATCAAGATAGGTAAACCGGAAGTTAAAGACTCAAATTGGCGCCAATTTTTTTTTTGATAACCCTTAGAGATTTTTTTTTATCTACAATATGATATATTATACATTTTTTTATTATAAATAGTTTTTGAGATATAAGCATCTTAAAAATTTTACAGATTCCAAAGTGCCTCTTTTTTGCACTTTTGAACCCCTATATCTCGGGAACCAGATATGCTAGCGAGCTAAAATAAACGGCTTTCTCATTTTCTTAACTATCTAAATAATTCCAGAAATTTTTAACAATTTTAAAAGGGGTCGACCAAATCGTGATCGATTTGACGTGGAATGGCGGCCCAATGGGAAAATTTAGATATTTATATAGACTTTGGATTTTTTTTTTAAAAAAAATTGTTTTAAGTTACTAATCATAAGAAAATCTAACTTTCATTTGAGACTTCATGTTTTAAACATTTAGCGAAATTTAAAAAATAAATTATTCACAAATTAAAATGTAGATCTTTTTAAATCATTTCTTTCAATTAAAAAATACTTTTTATTGAATTAAAAACTTTCTTAGATGCTTATTTTTAAAAACTAAGAGTCTGTGAAACAAATACAAAAATAGATTATATTTTTTTGAAAAAAATATTCACCAAAAAGTCCAACTAATATTTTAATTTTCCTAACCCTTCAAACCATGCATAAGATAGTAAGACAATTACCGGATCGCTTATCTTGTCCTTCCTCGTAACAAGGATTCACGGAGTATTTGGGGGTGACTCCTTTATCAATGAGATCGGGATAGAAAATATTAAATTTATAGCCCTGAACTATTTTGGGCGGAGGGTTATCGAAATCGTAATGGGTTTGGTTGTATTTGTTCCATTCGAAGCCAGTGTGAACCCTGTTGAAAAATCTTGGTTTACGGGGTTTGTATTTGTCACGCCATAAATAGTCTTTTGGTGGGAGAGGGATTTGTGTGCTGAAATCTGAGGTTTTGTATCTATAATTGGAGAAAGAAGATAAATAATTATATATATCTGCTACTTTGATATGGTAACATATTTTTTAGATATAAAAGGATGTAGAATTAAATATGAATAATGCAAAATAAATTATTCAAAATTAAATATAGTGAATTTTATAAAATTACAAATAAACTATTGGAAACAATAATTAAATATTAGGTGCTTCCACTCGGAGTGTCAAACCTTTTGATATATGGGTTCGGATCATATAAAGATTCGGGTTAAGGTTTTAAAGTATTATAAAGATTAGGTTCAGTTTTTACAAAACCTTGGAGATTAATTATAATATAATTCTATAAATAAATTGTTATGTGTGGTAATGTGATAGAATATAATTTAATCCTTAAAATTCTCTTTCGACCAAATTTTGTGTACGGTTCAGGGGGATCAAAAAATATTAAGTTATATAGGTGTGATTTCCAATATTTCAATACCCTACTTACACTACCTATAAAAATACAAATATATCTTAACCAGAGTAAAAAATCTGAAGATCTGGCCCAAAATAAGCAAAAATCTTTGAAGATAAAAAAAATGAAAATTTTATTGAAATGATAACGAAATTTTCTTTTGAAATAAATGGTTTAAATTTCACTCATTAAATCGAATCTTTGAAGATTTTTAATTTTGAACAATAATCTCTGGTTTTAAAATATCTAAGAACAAGATAATACTATATATAACCTGGTTTCTGAAGCCTCCTCATCTTCACATTCTTCTTCATCAGCTAGGGCTATACCTTCACAAACTTGCTTTATCATCAGGTCCTCAATTGAATACTTTATTTTATTAATTTTAATATTGTAAAACAAATAATTTTTAAAATATAACTAGATACAGTTATATGACAAGGTTTTAGATATTTATACACCCTTAAAAAAATGTAACTGGATATAAATAATCAAATTAATCGTCTAAAATTTATGATATATCAAAAGTTATCAATTTAATTACCGTTCATTAACTTAAAATAAAATTTGCATTGCTTATTTTTAAAAAAGAATAAACTCTATTTAAGTAAATTTAATATTTGTAATATTATTTTAAAACAAACATAAAATAAAATTATATCGAATAATTGATAGATATGACTTAAAATATATCTAGATACAAATGCTTTTAATGAAAATGAATTTAGATAGATATAATTACAAACAACACCCCGGCTTCTCATTTGGGGAGCTTAAGGCTAATAAGTATATTGGTTTTTTTCATCCATCACAATTAACCAAAAGAAATTTACAGAACATTATGCTTATACAACTCAATAACAAACCCGTTTAATACTAAAAAGGGCATCCTATGACCATTTTTTGCGGTCTTTAGATGCAAGACACTAATTAATCTGTTCAAATATGTAGATAAAATCAAGTTTATTTAGCTTTCTCCAAAAGATTCGGATAAAAATGATTAGATATAAAATTATATCAGTGAATAAAGCTAAAAGTTCTAATCTTCCATTTTTTGTAAGCAAAGAAACGAAGGGCTTATTAATTATTGGAATTAAAATAGTAATTAGTTCGCGATATTCAGTGAAAAATATAATATTAAACTCGAAGGAATTCAAGAGTAATTAATATGAATCGCAAAATATGAGATATCTTATCGATTTTTTTTCGTTTTCATCAAATATTATATTCTTTTTATCTTTGAACCCCTTTAAAATTCGCCCTATTTTATTTTTTATCCAATGACCATTCCTTATATAGTAATCTATGTCCTTTTCTTATAGGATTTCAGAGATAACGTAAAAACTCCAAGGAGTACCAATACAAGCGTTTCGTCGACAGTTTTCCATTCCTTCTAAGAGACATCATAAACTTGAGTTCAAGGGTTCTAGGCGCCAAAAGAAAAATAAATTTAACTTTTTTTCGAGGATTCATTTATTCCTTCTCGTTTATCAAAATTTTTTTTATACTTCCATTTTAAAGGCAATATCTTGTCAATTTATATCAGTTTTAGAAAGCGAAATATAGTGAATTTTGTTGTGTGTAGGTAATAATATTTTATTAAAAATGATAACTTATCAATATGCTTATGAATACGTTGCTTATCATGTTTTATATCAATAAGTTCTTGGGATATAGCAGTCGCGTAACCAAAGAGAAGGGGGAATCGCAAATTTGCCTGTTCTGTAAATCATTTTAAGCTTATGAAAAATTTCTTCCTACATACTCCTCACCTCTAAAAAATGTATACAATATATCACAGCCAAAGTCCGACAATAAGTTGACTTAAGGATCTGTAATAAAATTTATGGGAAAAAAATCACCTAATACCCCCCCCCCCTTAACAAAATCTTGGACAGGCCTATGTTTTGGAGTGTAGGTAATAATAATTTAATATAAATGATATTAAGACTGCAATTAAATAAAACATAGAAATTTATAAATCAATTTTCAAATCTTTTACTTGTAAATTATGTAAGATGTATATGTATTTTATATGGAGTATAAAAAATTAATAAATGGGGGAAAAAATGGTGTTATTTTAAGTCAATATTTCTTTATGTACTCCAAACCCTGAACCTTTTTCGACAATAAGTTGACTTAAGGATCTGTAATAAAATTTATGGGAAAAAAATCACCTAATACCCCCCCCCCCTTAACAAAATCTTGGACAGGCCTATGTTTTGTAGTGTAGGTAATAATAATTTAATATAAATGATATTAAGACTGCAATTAAATAAAACATAGAAATTTATAAATCAATTTTCAAATCTTTTACTTGTAAATTATGTAAGATGTATATGTATTTTATATGGAGTATAAAAAATTAATAAATGGGGGAAAAATGGTGTTATTTTAAGTCAATATTTCTTTATGTACTCCAAACCCTGAACCTTTTTTTATGTAAATTATGTAAGATGTATATGTATTTTATATGGAGTATAAAAAATTAATAAATGGGGGAAAAAATGGTGTTATTTTAAGTCAATATTTCTTTATGTACTCCAAACCCTGAACCTTTTTTTAAGATTTAATTCCTGACCGTAGATCCTTTTTTTGCCTAAGTCTAAGTAAGGGTTCACATCCATGATCAAATATAAAAGTATAACAAAAAATGAAATGATAATTTGAAACAGTTGTACTTATATATATTTTTTTTATGAAAGATTTTAACTTTTCAGCATTTTTGTAATTCGACTTTGGTCAATAATTAATCATTTAATTCGCTGAGTTTTAATAAGAATTGTAGATAAAATCGGCATAATTATGAAAATGTTGGCTTACACATCCCTAATATTAAATTCTCAAATTTATATTTTCTTCTATACAATGTAAAATAAAAATTTTAAATAATCTATTCAGCATTAAAATAATTTGTAAATTCTTTTTATTTATTTGACACTCTCGTGCCTATGCTGGAATTCCTAACCTTCGAGCCGACTGAACTTTGTAACGTGGATGGCAAACATTCTGATAGTTTATCCAAGATTCTATGGAAGAGTGCTAAGTTTTTAACCTGGGGTTTTTATGTGACCCCACTCCATAGGCGTAGCCAGGATTTTCATAAGGGGGGGGGGGGGGGGAATTAAACAATTACTATGGTAATAATTTATTCCAAACAATTATAAGAAATTTATTTATAAAAAGTAAGTAGACATATAGTTGAATTACTCTATTATATAGAATTAGTTATAAAATACTAGGTAAAATTCCACTTTTACAGACATATTTGACAGTTAGAGAATATATTACAGTTAATAATTTAACAAATTTTACTAATCAATGCTCTTGATATTAAATATAGCAACAATTTGTATTCAATTATATTTCTTTCTCCTACTCCGATCTCTCCCAGCCGCATGAGCTCCTCCCACGCCATGGCTTCATCGGGATCTTGTACGGTTTCCACCACCGCTCCCCTCATCTGCTCCAGCGCCAGTTGTTCCTGTTCTCCGTTAACCTCCCGCCCCTTTGCACTCTCCTCTTCACCGACGTCAGATCTTCGGTCGCGCGTCGTTTGCACACTTGCCACCCGTTGCTCCTCCATCCTCGACTCCACCTGCTCCTCCAAACTCCCATACGGTTCTTCCCTTTGACCCGCTGTATTTTCCCCCGCGAGTTCGGATCTCCTCATCCGTACTCTTCTCGACGTCCGTGTTCTTCTCAATCTCCTTCCGCTACGCGCAGACTGAGCTCGTAGGTACCCTGGCCCTCCGCAATTGTAGCATGAGACGGAGTTGGATATTTGAGGATTACGAAGTACATCTAATTATAATTCCCAGATGCGCGGGATTACAGGGATTTGTTCAGTGGAGGGAACGACAACACTGGAGAAATGAAAGAATGCGATTCCCGTGGAGGGAGCAGAAGGCATGGAGGGGGCAAAGAACGAGATCGGGGAACGACATAAGGAATGTTCGGTGGATGGATCTGAGACGGTGCTACAATTGCGGAGAGCCAGGGCTTCTACGAGCTCAGTGTGCGCGTAGCGGAAGGAGATCGAGAAGAACACGGACGTCGAGAAGAGTACAGATGAGGAGATCTGAACTCGCGGGGGAAAATACAGCGGGTCAAAGGGAAGAACCGTATGGGAGTTTGGAGGAGCAGGTGGAGTCGAGGATGGAGGAGCAACGGGTGGCAAGTGTGCAAACGACGCGCGACCGAAGATCTGACGTCGGAGAAGAGGAGAGTGCAAAGGGGCGGGAGGTTAACGGAGAACAGGAACAACTGGCGCTGGAGCAGATGAGGGGAGCGGTGGTGGAAACCGTACAAGATCCCGATGAAGCCATGGCGTGGGAGGAGCTCATGCGGCTGGGAGAGATCGGAGTAGGAGAAAGAAATGGAATGACCATGGAGGACTGGGAGCTGGAGCACCTGTTGGAGTTCATCCTGTCGGAGGATGAGGATGACGGCGACTCTGGTTTCATGTAGAGGGAGAGGTGTGATGTGGGGCTGGTCATTGAGAAGGAGTTATTATAGTTGGTTATTTTAAAATAGGATTAGTATAATTTAATATATGATTGTTATTATTATTCATTCAATTTAGATATTATATTATTTCGCGAATAGATTATTATTAGACTTTGACGGAATATTATTATTATTATTGTTATTATTATTCTTTTAATTTCGATATTATATTATTTCGCGAATAGATTATTATTAGATTTTGATGGCATATTATTATTATTATTGTTATTTATTATTATTTTTTTAAATTTTGTGTAGTGAATATAAAGAAAAAAAAATAATAAAAAGTTAGTTATCGGGTTTTGGAAAATTTTTTCGTTGTTGGTTTTTGGAAGAAAATTGGTTGTTAATTTTTTTTTTGTTGTTTTGGAGAAATTTAGTTATTAAAAAAGAAAAAATTGGAGTGTGTTTTTTAAAAAAAAAGAAGAATTTCAAGTAAAAAAAAACAATAAATATATTTGTTTGTAAAGATTAAAATAAAAATAAAATAAGTGCAACCGAACCATTTCATCAGAACTATTTCTATTACTAGTAGAAATATAAAAAATATGAATAACGGTGATAAACGTCTTATTTTTAATTCCATAGTAGGAATAGTGATTTTTATTGCTCATATTCACAAATATTCATATAAATAATAATGTAATATTCGCTTAAATCCCGGAGGTAACACTTTAATTAGGATTCTTTTTTATATTAAATAACATGATTTATAAATTATTCTAAAATTTCTCAATCGTTTGTTTAATTTATAAAAGTATTTTTATTAATAACTACCCATATAGGAGAATCCAAATTAAAATGTTACCTCAGAGATTTATGCGCATATTACATTATAAATTAAATGCTCATTTGTGAATATGATACAATATTAATGACGACTCCTACCATGAGATTAAAAATCTCTTCTCTTCTTTACGAAATTACATACGATTTATAACGTAATCTATGATTTTCCAATCTTTTATGTTTATTTGTAAAGAGTAGATATATGTAAAGGAGAACCCAAATTAAAATGTTACCTCGGGGATTTATGAGTATATCACATATTGTTCATATGCTTACATGTGAATATGAGACTATATCAATAACTACTCTTACTATGGAATAGTAAAAAGCAATGAGATTAATTTTATATTATAAGCCATGAATTCGATTTTCCTAATTTTACTTTTTGAAGTAGTGTATTTGGAAGGTAATTGTTGTAATTGTGGTAATATTCAAATTTACTAGATTAAGAAAAACAACAGACAGGCAAATTACTTTTAAACAAAATTACGAAGCCGAAAGATATTCAAATCTACTCAAGAAAAAAAAATTAAATCTCGATACAAATTGAGACTATGCAAATGTTGATTAAAGAAAAAGGATATATAATGGAGAAATTATGATGCGAAAAAGGATGATCATAAGATTATTATTTTTAACTTAAATTTACTTTTTTATTTTTTTCTTTTCTTTTCTTTTCTTTTAATTAATTTTAATTTTCTTTTATTTTGATTATGTTTTTCACTTTGTATTTAATTATATTGATTATTATTTAATAAATGATTCAACTATAATTTTAGTATATATTTCTTTTTATATTTAGGTTTTGTTCTCACAAACAAAATCTTTCATTGTGACAGTAATAATAAAATATAATTCAATATTAAGAAAAAATGAATTTATCAATAATAAAATATATTTACCATAATATTGCTAATTTTGATATATATATAAATAAACATAATTATATTTGATCATAAATAATATTCAATTAATATTATATATGAAATTGTATATTTATATTTTATGTTTATATTAATGTGTTTTATATTTTAGATATTGAATAAAAACTAAAATCTCATTTTTTTGTAATTTTTATTCTTCTGAAAGGTAGTGCGACTTTTGGCAATTGCCTCTTATCGTTTTATTAAATAAATGTATACTTTTGCGCTTTTTCGATATTCCCTTTTCAGAATCGGAACTGTATTCCTGAGAATAATTCTAATTCTAATCTTAGTGATTTATCAGATGAGGAAATTCTTGCTTCAAGACAAACAGATGTTGATTCCATAGGCATTTTGTCAGTTTTTATATGTATCCTTATATGACTCTGATAATGATGAGCAATCAAATATGACTCTGAAATATCATAGAAAAATCATATGGAAATTATCTTCAACCAATTAGCTTACAACAATTCCTAAATGGAAAACAACATAACACAGAAAAGATCATGAACCCTTTCTTATTACATTAAATTTCTGGATAAAATTATTGATATTATAATATAATTAATCTAACTTATAATTCTCCTCTAAATATGAATATAAATGAGCTGGATAAATATAAAAATATCGGAATTCTTTTTTACATGTCTATCATAAAACTCCCAAGATCTTGACTTATTGATCAGTATATATAAGGCAATCATCAGTAGCTAATGTTATGTGTCAAAAAAGATTGAATCAAATAAAAGTCTCATTCCATTTTAATGATAACTCTACACCTACACCAGAATCAACAGAAATTGACCCTTTATATAAAATAAAGCATCTCAAGATTTCCGATTTTTTTTTGAAAGGAATTCTAATGAAAGACAAGCTATTTGTCTACAAACAAGTAATTCCCTATAAAGCCACTTGCAAAAGCCATACAACCCGTAAAAAAATGGAGATAAAGGGCATTCTTTTTATGCAGCGATGAAGAACAGTATATAATTATATACCTAGGTAAAATATAAAAGGTTCAAGGATTTCCTGATATTGGAGCTATCGGAAATTTAGTAATTCAAGACTTTGGAAATTTTTTTTAAATATATCTAAATTTATAAATTTTATATTGAATTTTTTATGTAAAATAAAAATATTTGATTTATTGAAACTAAACGATATATAAACGACATATAACATATGTCTTTTATTTTGAGTAATTATAAAGATTAATATCTATATTTAAATAAATTCGGGCCGGGCTGGGTCGGTAAATTTTTTTTAAAAAAATTTTGGGTTCGAGCCTGGGCGGCAAAACTCTAAAAAAAATTTTGGGTTCGAGCCTGGGCGGCAAAACTCTAAAAAAAATTTCGGGCCGGGCCGGGCTTGAAAAATTAGGCCCGATGCAGATCACTAATTGGCTCTGTGGGATAGAACTTCAAGTCGTACTTGCCCAATAGTGAATATAGTGTATTGCAAGAGTGAGAGCTAATCAAATACACATCAGTTTCCAATAGAAAAAGAATTCAAAAAGATGAGGCGTGGATCTTTTATTGAGAAGAGGGCAACAGTAAATAGTATAAAATTATATATCACTAAATGGCATTAAATAAGTCTATAATAATCCTAAGTACGTACATAGGTAGTTATCCTGTCGAAGATTGTGAGTGGTTAAGAAAGGAACGGCGGAAAATTAAAATTCCATGTCCAGCAGCGATTGGTGTCACCGTATAGTATTTCATATACTTGATATGATGCTTCTAAATTCTTGGTTATTGTAGGCAAGATTATGTACCTCTAAAATTCCCATTAGAAGATCAAATGTCATTATTAAATTAATTTTAATAGTAGGGGTACTCTGCACGTCGAATTAGGGTTCAGGAATTTAAAACTCTATTTAGCGAAAGTTTTGATAAAAGGAACTTAATCGAAATCGATTTTCTGAAAGAAGTCTGAACTCGCCCGAGTTCATATAACCCCGGGTTCAATGGGTTGCACATAACTCGATTTCTGTATGACCTTGGTCTGTGGTCTCAAAATGAACAACCAAACAATTTTTCACTACCATTTCTGCAAATGCAATAAAAATTTCAACCCTTGCACAAAAACGAGAGTCGATTGGTGCCAAATATAAAGAAAAATGTAGCAAGGGGCAGAGATGTCTTATTCCGCAAAGCTAATTGGCCAAAGTATAGTATAAAGGCGCGGTGCAAAAAACCTGGATGTAAATTGAATACTCAAATGATTCGCACCAAATGTTGCGTTTCTTTATATTTCACTTCTAAAAAAAGATTGATTTAAATCATTTCATGAAAATTAATATAAAATTATAATATTATATCATTTATCAAGTAATAAAATTTTATACAACTTTCTTTTATAATAAGTTTGAATATTATACTTTTTACACGCATTTTTTGTGCTTAAAACACACAAATTGAAAATATTTTGAGCGCTTTTTGGAATTTTATTTTATTTAAGTTATAGTAAGACTAGTTAAAGGTGAATGTATTTTTATAAATTATGTCATATATTTATATGATGCGCAATCGAGGGTAAATTATTTTTTTAAAAAGCAAATTTTCAGTGAAAACATGCATTGCGTGATTTTCGATTTTGATTCTATCTTTGGATCTGAGCACTCCAAAGTTAGCATAAATAACTATCATGCCAAGTTTCATTTTTTTTAGGGATGGTCGTTCGAAAATCTCGTTTTTTGGTGAATTTGACATGGAATAACCCATATGCAATCAAAAATCTAGCAAGGGATAAATTTTGAAGCAATTTTTAAGCAAATGGACTAAAAAATATAAATAATTCCATAAACTAAATTTACAAGTCACATTGAATCAAATAAGTATCAGTTCGTAATCACCGCTTTACTCAATATAAATAAACTCTTTATATTTTAACTATTATAATAATTCCAAACATATTTTAAATAATCAAGACTTCTCTACTATAGAGTGATGGCTGAAAATTAGTTAATTCTGTTTAATTTTTAGGCGCGTGCCAAAAGTTCAAGCATTGTGATAGGGGTTAATTTATTTATGCTTTTTCAAAATTGAGCTATATTTTCATATAATTTTGCTAAAAATAGAGCAATTACCCAACTTCTATATTATATTTTTTGTCTTAAATTAACCTTGGAGGATCCCGTATGTTGATAACACTTTCTGGAATATTCTATCCTCTTGATTTCTTCGTCTTGCTGGGAAATAACGACCCCCTTTTCTATATATTTTTCGGGTATAAGTTCTGGACTATATCTGCCCTCTTCGTAAGCCAAATAACTTGCTTCAATTTCATTCTCCTCACTAAATTATTTTTTTAAAGAAATTTCAACATTTTTTTTATTTATTAATCTGTCCTTTACTCATTTTCCTTGTGTACTTACATTTATCCCTAATTTCTTTTTACCTTTTAAGGTTGGTGATCAAAGACGATTGGTCATTAGATAGCAATTGACTAAACAACGACCAATGTACCTCAACCTCATATCCAATGACCTTTTTAATACTAATTTTCACTCAGTCAAAAAGGTTGGTGGTAACAGAAAAAAAGTGGTCCCTACGGGAATCCAATTTACGACCTGCTCCACTCATCCCAAATTTCTAAACTCCGAGCCAAAACTTCCATTAAAAAAAACAATACATCATCAATCAGCCTGAAAAATTTTCAAAAAATATATATATTATTTCTAGGCTGACCAAACGTCTTCGATCACTAGCTTCCTTTTTTACCCCTGTTTTTAAACCCCCTCCCCAGACATAAAACTATATTTGATCTAAAGACTTTTTTAGCAAATAAAAATCTATATATATATATATATATATACCTCTCTTCATTTTGTTCCTTTTCATCTCCAATTCGCTCACCTAATGTCTCTGTTTCCACCAATATATTAGAACTTGTATCGAGATGTATTTGGCTATTTTCATCATTGATTACATCTCCTTCCATTTTAGATTGCGCCAATTCTTCCAACGGGATAGGGAACAAGTTATTTTCTTGAGTGGTAAGAACACCCTGCTCCTTTTTAAACTGATACAATTTTTGTCGGAGTAAATCTTGGTGTTTTTCTCTCAACCTAGCTTTTGCCATGTAAGCTTTTAGCTGTTTCAGTAAAGATTCCCAATATCCTATATCAATGTTTTCTTGAGTCTGGTGTTTAATAAAATGAAGTGATGGTAAAAAAAAATTTCTTTCCACATTATAATTATTATTAAAAAAACGATGCATTTTCCTTAGTTAGTTTTAATTATTCTAATTTGGCAATCAAAGACATCAAAAAAAATTTATAGAAATACCTGAATTTTTTCAGTAATTTGGTTTGCCAACAACTCTAGTTGAGTATACGTTTTCCCTTTAAATATCTTGAGTACATCATCTCTAACACATTTGTTAATTCCTTCTCTCCTGTGAGAATAATATTCTGTAAATAAACGAGACAGACATTAAATAATTTATAACTAGCAAAATTAAAAAAAAAAATTTTTAAATTAATTTTGGTAAATTTAGGAATTTATTTTCTTTTATAAAAATTAGAGACGTATAGACCCAGAACCTAGCCAAAAAAATGGTACAAAATCCAAGTCTAGCCTAAATATTTAAAAATTAAAAGTCCAGGCCAAGTTGAATTAGTCAGTTGGAAAATCATATAATAGATTAACCAATTTTATTAAGGTCAATATTTTACAATGTCTCTTTAAAAACAATTTTCAAAACTATTCATAAAAATTTTTTAAGAATTTTGAGTTGGCCCCAAAAAATTAACAATAAAAATCTTGTACAGACCAAATATTTTAAAAAGAAGTGTTCAAGTTTAAAAATATTTACCTCCCAAATATGAAATTTTAACCTCTACTACTACAGGCCCCAGGTAATAAGGGGTCTAAAATTTGATTTCATAATATTATAGTAAAGTTTTAAAAGACTTTAATGATGCTGAAAATAAAGAAATTACAAATATGATAATGAACATGATTATAAAAAAATATATAGAATTGAAATAGGATGTTTCTGGTGATAACACTTTAGAAGAGGAAACAAGATGCTGAAATTACAAAATACATTTGTGTTATAAGTGTAATAACTAAAGAATATTTAAAATGTCAATTTATAAAATTTTATTTTTAGGGTAGAGTTAAAATATTAATGATCTTAAATCACGACTGTACCATAACCAAGTTCAACACATATTGGATGAGTCCCATTAGATTAGTCATATGCTGGAACATCTATAACAACATAAAACAATTTACTCATAAATTAAAAGTTAACATTCAAGTCTCATTCGACAACTTTAACTAAAATTGTTCCTACCACGCAAGATAATAAATGCACCAGGGGCGGACTGGCCATAAGACCCGGTGGGCATTTTGCCCACGAGGCCGCGAGAAAATGTCGATTTTGAGGCCGATCGGAGGAAAATATAAAAAAAGAGGCCGATTAGAAAAAAAATAATATTATTATGTCCATAATATTTTCTCTTATCATTTATTTATTTTTAATATCGCATTCCTTGAGAATTATCATGTAATTTACTATATTTGAATGCATAAAATATTAATAACATCGCTTGACGCTATACATCATTATCGCGTGCTGTTTTTTTCGAATGAAGTGAATCGCTTCCTTTTGAGCTTGACTACGAGTAGAGGGTAAATTAAGTTTTAATTAATTTATTATATTATATTTTTATACATTAATTTATTGTAGAAATAATATAGCAAACTTTTGTTATTGTATTGTTCTTAATTAAAGAAAGGAAATCAAATAAAACCCAGGTATAATAATAATTTTAATAAATAAATTTTTGATCAATTTGATTTTCTAAAGTTTCTTATAATATTAATTTATTGTTATTTTATTATATTATTACTAACTAAGCTTAACTCAACGAACACAGATTGTTAAAATCTCACCTAATATTTGGATTGCAACAATTTACTAATCATTTGCAAACAAATCTAATTTAATATTTATTTAGCTATTTTTTGAAATGTATGTAAAATTGTGTTGTCCTGATTACGTGGATCTGGTGGTAGATTTTTAATCAATAAAGATTTGTTTTGAATTATTGTGAAAAATCGTGATTTTATTATTGTGAAACAAGGAAAACCTCCCATTCACATCTACCTGAAACAACTACATTATCTGCAACATCTTCTTTTATTATTGCATCAGTTCAATCATTGCCACGCCCACCTATAACTATATTACCAACCATTACAGCAGATAAATCATTCACACACCCTGAAAATACATTATCTACAATTACAGCAATTCCATCTTTATTATCCTCACACTTGTCAGAAGCAACTACATCAATACTGCCTTTAGATATTTCACAAAGTGGATTATCAGAATTGGATATGCATAAACATGAAAATTTAAAGCTGCAATTAACAGCTACTATACCACAAAAACTTGCATTCTTAATGCAACATCCTATACAACCAATAAATAGTAAATATGATAAATTATATTATCTAATGGTAATGAATGAAAAAATACCTAGAAAATGGATTACAATAGAACTAATGTGCAATAAAGCCAAAGCTGTGTACTGCTCAATCTGCCTGGCATTTGCAGTATGTGAAAACACTTTTACAACAGGCTCAACAAATTTTCGTCATATGCATTCAGTAATTAAAATACATGAAACAAAAGTACATATTAGTGCTGTCGAGGCCTACCTCAGATCATCAAAAAATAAGTCATTTGATAATTCAATTAGTATTAAAATATTAAATAAAAAAAATCGACAAATTTATAGCAATGTCCACATAATAAAACAAATATTTGAAATAATAAAGTTTTTAGGCAAACAAAACTTACCCTATAGAGGATCAAATGTTACTGAAACACTTAGCCACTTTGTAAATGAAAATTTGAATCATGGGAATTTCCTGGAAATGATTCGTATTATATCAAAAAATGATCAAATATTAAGAGATCATTTAGAGAAGGCTATTTTAAAGAGCAAACGTAGAAAAGAAAAGTTTAAACTCTCTGAAAAATCAAAGGGAAGAGGTTCTCTCATAACCTTGTTGTCGAAAACAACTGTTAACAAAGTTATAGATGTTGTTCTTGATCAGATCAGGAATTTAATAAAAAAGGAGATTGGTAACAAACGTTTTAGTTTGCAAATGGATAGTACTCAAGACATTAGTGTTTATGATCAAGCAACTATTTGCCTACGGTATATATATAATGGCAAAATAACAGAAAGGCTTTTTCACTTACAAAAGTTACAAACTCTTCTGGAAAAGGATTTTTTGATATCTTGAGTGAATGATTTTTAAAACATGGAATTCAAATGAGAAATATAATTGGAGAATTATTTGATGGTGCGGCAAATATGCGGGGTGAATTAGTTGGGTTGCTAGCTCTTATTAGACAAGAGGCTCCAAGTAGTTTGTATATTTGGTGTTATAATCACATATTAAATCTATGTATATGTGTTTCATGCCATAATGTTGAAGGCAAAAATTTATTTGGATTGTTGAACAGACTAGCAACTTTTTTTGGGGAATCATATAAAAGGATGGATGCTTGGGTGAAACAGAATAACTCATCTGACCAAAATAAGTTGAGAAGACTTCAAAAAATAGGAGAGACAAGGTGGTGGCCACATGAAAAATCCCTTAGATGGATATATGGCAAAGAGAGCCTACTTCCAATAACGATAAGTGTCTTACAATTTATAATTGATAATAAGTCATTTGAGGCAAAACCCTCACCAGAAGCACAGTCTTTGATTGATAATTTATGTAAATTTAAGACTATAAATACTTCTATAATATATTTAGAAATTTTTGAAATAATGAGGCCATTGTCATTATATCTTCAAACTAAGAATTTAGATATTTTATCAGCGTGGAAATGATAGAAGATGCCAAGTTTTCTGTGCCATCTATAACTATTACTTCAATTGAAAATAAAACAACAAAAATGGCTTCTAATTTAAATGGAACACTTTCATATTTAAAGCTCCCAGAGAGTATCTGGGTACAAACTGCTCTGTCAAAAAATCGAATAGGACGAGTGAAGAGAATATATAGTGACGAAGGCCAAGATGAACGTCCTCAAGAATCGATTGACTTTCATAGGGTCGAAGTATTTCGTCCTATAATTGATCAAATTATAAACAGCTTGTCGGAACGGTTTTCTGCAAATAAAGAGCTTATTTTGAATGTGCAATATTTGCATCCAATGCATTTTGAGGGTATAAATAGTAAAGGTATTTCTGAAAAGGCCTTAGAAAAACTGGCACAATTGGCAAATATATCGAGTGTTAAATTACGTAACGAATTGTGTTCATTTGCCAGTGTATTCAAAGATTTAGTGGAAGAATTAAATGAAACGGACAATGATATCGTATGTGCAAGTGAGGATTCATATGAAGAAGATGGAATATTACAAAATGATATTAACTCAAAATGTGATAATAGATGTAACAAGTGTTTAATATGTGTGTACGAAATTATTAAAAGATACAATATGCATACAAGTGCTTACACTAATTTATTTTTAGCATATGAATACATTTTAACTTTATCATTTACGCAAGTCAATTGTGAGAGAACATTTAGTAAATTAAAAATTATAAAAAATGGGCTGAGACCAAATATAGGACAAGAAAAATTAGAAGCATTTTTAATGATGTCAGTTGAACGGGAACTTTTAGCGCAGATTGAACTAAAAGATATTCTTGTTTATTTGTGCAAAGGTTCAAAGTTAATGAGAGATTTATTAACTTAAAAATTTATATTAATTCTTTTATTTAAATCTTATTTATATCTATTTACAATATGATCGGCGGTAGCAATTTTATTTTCTGTGCAATATTGTATAATTGCAATAATTTTTTATGTGAAATTAATTGATTTTATATATTGAGTATTATGTATTATTTTATAATTAACATGTGATGTATGATTTAATTTTAGTGCATTATTGTTTTATATCTAATATAAAATATATGTGCAATAAATATGATCTTAGATGTGCAATTTTATGAAATAAAATATATATGAGTATCATGTCATTATTCTTTTTTTTTTAAATGTACATCGTTTGTAACTATTTTCAAAAATAAGAAGTTATAAAAATCATATAATTCAGAAGCCATTTAAGGGACCCCGGCCAAAGGCCAGGCAAAACAAAATTAGGAGTATGGGGGCGAAGCCCCCATAAAAATGAGGCCGCTATAAAAAAAATGCCCACGAGGCCGTAGCGTCGCCAGTCCGCCCCTGAACTGCACATATATATATGCCTATAAAAAATATACAATCTGAAATTGATTGCTTATAAATATAGGATAATATATTAAAATATATATAATATTATAACAAAAAAATAATATGCAAAAACTAATTCTAATTAGAAAAAGGCATGTGTAAAAGTCCTATCAATTCAATGTGGTTTTATATTTTTCATAAATTTTTAAACAAGGATGGCAAAAGCTTATGATTTATTTCTGTTGCAAGAAAACTGTCAAAAAAATGGTTTAAAAGCACTATTTATAACCCAAAACTAGTTCTGTAAACATAACTTTAATAATAATGTGTTGCTTTTCTTGTTAATATGCAAAAAAAGAATAGTCTGGCAAAATTGAATTAGTTGGAGAAATATTCTCTCACTCAGTCAGATTGAATCTTGATTTTAAATTTTAATTTAGATTGGACCTTTCCAAATTTTAAATTATTTTTGTAAATATTATTTTATAGAATAACACCAGAATTTTATATTTTTTCTTTAAGTGCTTAGGATTTTTCCACTTTCATTAAAATATCATACATATATAAAGAGTTCAATATTAGAAAAATCAGAGTAGATAATATTTGGATCTTTGAAGAATAAAATAGGCTGATTGGTCAAACTATTTTTCTTTGGTTGGACTTGAAATATTGGTCTAATGCAGAACTGGGATTTTAATGATTATCTATTGTAATATTTATTAATTCTCAAAAGTAAGCTGTAATAGGTTATCATTGAGATAAATATAATTGCTAATTTAACCCTAATACTGGATAAAATGATGTCTGGTATAGAAATTTTAAAAAAATTTTTCTTTTTTAATATGATATTCTTGCTATGCCACTGAAAATTATATATATAAGCAAATTAATATAGGAACTAACCATCTTTTTCAGCAGCTACAATTTGTTTTAATTTATCCAATTCATCTTCTACAATAACAGTTATATCTTTCCAATAATCTACATTCTGACCTTGTTCTAATTCAATATACACCTTTATATAGATTTAGATATAGATAAAACATTAAATTTACTTTTATATCTTCTAAAAGGTCCTCTAAATCTGACAAGTTCAAACCATTTAAATAGGTATATGGTTCATGCATTTCCAAATTTAAATCTTCACTAGTATTGCTGATATATTTAGCTAATAGATCAATAGGTTTAGCTCTATTATCAGATATACGTATTTCTGATCTTTAAATATATAAAAACTTTGTTTTAAAAAAAATTTCAAAAAATTTGTAGTGATAAAAAGAACTGGTAAATTATAAACATTTTAACATAAATCAAGTAATGGGTATTATATTTCATATTTATACCTTAATAAAGCTTGTTCTAAGTGAAATTTGTCTTCTTGTTTTTCCCATTCTTTAAATTGAGCTGCTTCTTTTTCTCTCTGTATCAATTCTACTTCATAGTCTCTAGATTCCTTTTCTTTTTCATAGAGCCATCTCCTTTTTTTAACCTTTTCAAGTTCCAATTTATTCTCCTCCAATTTTCTACTATTTATTTCTAAAAGTTTTGATTCTGGAACATTGTCAATGCCTATAATTTTTGAGGATATATAAATATATATATAATTATAAATAAATTCTGACCTTCTTTTTGAAATTTTTTTCGCCATATAAATGGTCTATGCAAATTAGAATCTCCAAAAGGATTATCTACATTTGTATATGATAAATGTTCATCATCCCATCCCAACTTTTCCTTCTTCTTCTTGTCCTTTTCTAATTTCTTTGCTAAACGTCTAGCCCTTTTTTCCTCTGGAGTTTCTAATGCTTTTAATAAGGATTTTTGCCTGGCATTCTCTAGCAACTTATCACTATTAGCATATTAGACAAATAAAAATATTTAAAAACTCACTTCAAGTCCATAAGAATCTACGAGTTTTACTAAAAATAAAAGATTGGCAAGTCAGAAGTTACGTGAGAATAACTTGTCAATAGACATGATACAACTAAATTAAATTAATTTCTTTATCATTTGTTTATTTTTTAATCAATCATTTACATAATATTTTTTATATAAATTATATAAAAAATTGGAAAATCAGGTGCTTCTTAAAGCTATTATAACTCTCATGAGATCGACGCTAGACCTTTCTCTCTATTCCAAATATAAAAAATTTGATATAATATAAAAACAATAGACCAAATTTAGTACCAGAGGATAAAAACTAATTTATTGTAACTTTTTTAATCTCACCATTATCTTATTTTGGTATTGTATTTTAAAAAGACGTCATAAATCTATATGAGAAATTTAGATATACTGGTACTAAAAACTAAATTATAAGAGTATCAATGCTACTAGCAAAATCATAGTTGCATATTTACATTTGAACATTATATTAGGCTAACCTGCAATGGTATTTCAGCCGTTTGGATTAGAGCGATTATGTATTCGATTTCTAGACGAGAGTTAGGCTTTACTTATTAGGTTAAGCTTTGCAATTAGTTCTTTTAAATTTGATAAAAAGACATAGTGGCAGGCCAAGATGAAAACTATATAATTTTATATAAGATATAAAAAAAAGATTAATTTTACATTATATTACAAACATGTCAAAATTATAAAGTTTATATAATATTATAAAATAATATAAATTTGATTATAAAATAAAATGAAATGAAATAAGTTAGTAAGATTCTGGATATATTTTATAAAAGATTTTATTTAGAAATCACGATATATTTATAAAAGATCATATGTAAAAATCGTGATATATTTATAAAGGTTTAAATGTAGAAATCAGGATATATTTTTAAGAGGTTCAAATATTATAATCATTTTAATATATATTTTTATTAAATATTTTAATATTATTTTAATTTTATCTCAATTTCATATTGAGATTTTATTAATATTGGTTAACTTTATTTAAAAGAAAATATTATTTTATTTTTCATTTCACAAATTTCTCATCTATGGCCAGCGTCTACATGAACGGGAGGGGTAAGAACAGTTTGCATCCTATTTTTTTTAGGGGGTAGGGGGTAAGCTGCTAATGGAGGTAGGATAATTTTTTTTTTGGGGGGGGGGGGGGGTTATCTATTAAATTTTGAGATGAAATAAGACAAAATTTATTGCTGTAAAAATTAATAATTTTATTATAGTATTATTATAATACAATTCATCGACCAAATCTACATATTGCAAACATTCATACACAATGTTTTCCAAATAAACTATCCTTTTAAATATAATTTAAAAGGTTTAATATTTCAGCAAGCTCATAATGCCATAATAATTAACTCATTATAAATAATGGAGATTTTAATTGAATTTATTATCTAAAAAATAATTCCTTATATTCACAAAATATCGATAGTTGGTAGTAGAGATAAATTAATTTAAGTTATCCTTTATAAATTCTTTGAAAAGAGTAATAATAAATAAATAGGTAAAAATAATGATAAAGAGACATGCGGCGATTTTTTTAGGGGGGTAGGCAAAGGTTTTTGAAGGGGTTTTGCATCCAGTGAAAATCCTGTCATGTAGACGCTATCTATGGCTCTTTGTCGGTAAAACTGGATACACCTATTTTCCGAGAGCTTAGCAAGCCCTATTATATGCCCTAATCTCTGCAATCTATAAATGTCTAATTTTATTTTAAATAATATGATAATTTTCATATTTGGGAGAATCTATAAAAATATACAAAATTTATGCCAACGAGATGAGATTTTTTCAAAGTCGTGGTACTAACTGAAAGAATTAGTTTAAATTTAAACAATATTTAAATAATTAATCAAAAATTAAATAATTAATTAATTAAAATTGCACTTTATTTTTAAGAAAAAAAATATAATAATTTTTGATATAAAAAGCAAACATTATATATTAAAATCTTTTTATGAACATTTGCATATTCATCCAATTTATACAAAAATAAAACTTAATAATATACTTCAAAATTATGAATAAAACAAAAACATAAAAATTAGAATAATCATCGTTAAACTTAACATAAGTAAAACATAAGTTAACATAATAAAAATGATAATTAAGCATAACATAAGTACATCATCAAATTATCAAGATTTACCTTTTTTTATAAATCTAAAAACCTTGGACCCGCCTTTTTTTGCTTAGGTATCCAGCCGAATATTGAATCGATAAATCGTGAAACAAATTTGACCTTCAATGTTTGGTATTTGGATGATGGAACCCTTGCTGGTCCATATGATGAACTTCTAAAAATAGCGCCTATAATAAATAATACAACCAATATTACAGGGTTGTCTCTCAATAATAACAAATGCGAATTTTATTCACCAGATGAAACCTTTATCGTTCCTCATAACTTCACACCCATTAATTTATCCGGGTTCACACATCTTGGATCTCCAATAGGCGGCAATAAAGCAATCGAATATTTCAAAACAAAATTTCTCCGTAATTTCCACCTTTTACATAAAATCCTTCAAGTCCTTCCCTCCCATCAAGCTTTCTTCCTTCTCAAAAACTTTATCCCAAAAATCCAACACGCCTTCCGCTCTGCCCCACTTTTCTTATACCCGAAAATTCTCACCCAAATAGAATCAACAATCAAAGACTCTTTAGAAGGCATCCTTAATATAAAATTCAGCCCTAATTCTTGGATGCAGGCTTCCTTACCCTCGAAATTTGGGGGTCTTGGCTTAAGATCACCAGCGTCACTCAGCCTTGCTGCCTTTTTAGCCTCAGAATCAAGCTCCCGCTTAATTATGCTATCACTTAACAATAAACCCACAGACCCCCACTTTCCCCACGACCTAGCAATCTGGAAAGAGAATTCCTTCTCCGCTCCAATCCCCACATCACAAAGCAACTTGACTGGGATCTTCCCTTAATATGCCACTCCATTGAATATCTAATATCGAGTGCTGCTTCTAAGGGATCCCCATCAATCCTTTCACATTTATTATCTCCCATTACAGTTGAAGAATCCTTAACAGTTGATCATCTATCTCTCCCACAACTGCAAGTTCCACAACTTTTGCCTTCCCTATCGGGCTATGAATGGTTAGAAGCTTTGCCCAGCTCAAACTTAGGACTTCTCTTAACAAACGAAGAATTACGCATAGCAATAGGTCTCCGTCTTGGTTGTAATATACTATCCAACTCCACATTTACATTATGTTTTCAACGCGTTGATTGTTTTGGACATCATCCTCTTCATTGTCAATTCTCTAAAGGTAGACATTCTCGACACAGTGCAGTTAACGGCACCATTCTCCGTGCTCTACGCTCAGCTCAAATTCCAGCAACCCTCGAACCCTGTGGCCTCTCAACCGAGAATAATATACGTCCAGATGGGCTGACATTAATACCATGGAGTAATGGAATTCCATTAGCATGGGACTATACCTGCATCGACCGATTTGCTCCCTCCTTTAATAAGAACTCATTCATGCGAGCTGAAAACTCGAAAATTAATAAATACACTTCCCTAACAAATTGCAATCTCATACCAATCGTATCCGACACAACCGGGTCTTTTGACAATCATGCCCTAACCTTCTTCAAAACCCTCGGTAAAAAAATCCGCGCCATCACTGGTGACCCTCAGAAAGGCTTCTATCTCAGACAGCGCATATCTATTGATATATGCAGATCTAACTGCATTGCCATCCATGGCTCTCTTTCTTGACCTCCTCCCACCCAACATACAATTTACTATACTAATTATTTATTTTTTTATCATACAGTTTTTTATATAGATTTTATATAAATAGTTTACATGACATTTTTAATATATATTTATTTTTTTTTAAATTACATATATATATTTAACTTTTAACGTTCAATGTATTAAATATTATAAAGTTCTTAATAAAAAGTTTATTCCAATAAAAAAAAAAAAATTAACGTTTTATCACATCTTTTAAAGTTATCAAATGCCCTACAATAGAATCTATAATGGAAGGGTGGGGAAAGGGGGCCAGTTATTACAATATTAATATCATATGAATAAAATTGAAGGCGGGTAGAAAGTCATTTTGATTTGAATTTTACCAATTTTGATGGCAAAAGGGGTAGAAGATAAGATTTTAATTAAGGGTAGGCGTTAATATCGCTGTTGTAAAAAGTGTAGAAACCTAATTGATCCCCAAGACTTGTTAAATAGTAAAAAATTAAAAATCAAAGACGAAAGAGTTTCTTAAATAAATATTAGATTACAAATTGGAAACAAATCTTATTTTTAACACTCATAATAATAATGAATACAAATTATATATATTATTAACTATTATATTATCGAGTTCATGGAAGTGTTATGCATAGGCGTAGCCAAGGAGGGACAAGGGGAAATTCCCCCCCCCCCTTTAGAAATTTATCACTTTTTGTGAATATCATTTTAAGCTGATAAAAAATATTCCCCTTAGTTCTCCTCTCCACTTCCTGACCCCTTAAAATATATGCATATATCTTTGAAAGAAAGAATGTAATGATATTTTTTTTATAAACCTATTCATCATAATATATACATTTTTGGAAAAAAGCATTTATATATAAAAATAGTGAACCAAAAATGTTTTTTTAAGAAATGGAATATATGCCAAAGATAAGTCTTAAGACAAAAGTGAAATGTATTATAATTATTAATAATAGATGCATGAAATTACTAAAGATATAATATATCAAATATAATTTTTTATAAAGTGAGTAATTTTAATTTATTTATTTTAATAAAAGTAAAATATAATTGTAAAACTATTGATAAAATTAAATCATAAATTAAATAAAAAAATTAAAGCACAATACAAAAGTGGAATATTATATGTCGTAGATTTACAGTATAATCATATGACAATCAAATCATTTTTACCAATTTAGCGAATTATATATTTTACAGAAAACTATAAAATATTAATAAATCAGAAAATATCTTAGACAACATTGTGGGAGAATAATTTTTAATATCGCTA